ACTCTCAATATCCACAACTGGACAGCTGCAGGAGAATCGAGGGTCCCTCTGTTCTAGTCCCACGCTTTAAAGTGGGTCACACAAACACAACAGCTGGGCCCTGAGCAAAAGCTAAATGCCTTTGTTTAGACACAGGGAATGAAATGTCACTGGAGATCCTCATCTGGACTTCCTGCTAGGATTGGGAGTAAGAGAATGAAAGGTGAAAAATGTAAAAAAAAAGAGAGAGATAGGATACAGACAGGGAGACAAAAATCACATGCAGCGAAAAGAGACAGAGAGAGGAAGCTGTTTGGCCAGAGTTCAACCACGCTCTCCTCTGTCACACTTGGACATAATTTGTAGGTCAAATTAGCATGGGAGGGCAGAGAGGCTGCAAGAGAGGGAGGAGGGAGAGACAGAGATATGAAGGCCAAACAGACAGGCTGCTCTTCATTACTCAGGCCTCCCTTCACATGGGAATGAAGCACAGTGGGAAAAAGAGGGGCAGAAGACAAAAAATGAAGATGGGGGCGCTTTGGCAGTGCTGTCCCCTTTTCGGTATACGCTCTTCTAGCAGCTGACCCTGGGGCAAAGGCTAGGCCTTAAACAAATAAATAAAACCATATCTGGAGAGAGTTTGGGGATTTAGTGCCCCTCCCCTGATCCTTGTTAAAAGGGGCCAAAGCACAACACTGGCGAACTGAGCTGCATGTTACACTTTTTACAGCAAGCTACAATGACTTCTCCAGCCTGCAGACAGATAGGAGCCTTGTGTGAAATCCATAGGGTACAGTGGTAGAGTATAGGTTCTTTTACTCGCTGGAGAATACATTTGGACAATATTAATACAGAATGACACACGTTACTACCATTCTTTGTGTTTTCTATCATCTAATTAGAGAATCCCTATTTTCCTGCTGGCCATGTGTTAAAACTCAGACGAATTCAGATGTTGTAAGAAGCATGCGAGTTGTGATTACTTGTTTTGTTAATGGCCTATAATTCTCCTCCAACTGTCAATTGGTTTCAAAACGCAGGGAGGACTTAAAAGCTGATTCTTTGCAAAAGACATTACTTCCCTGCTTCTTCTCCTTCTATAGACATTCTGCTCTTAAAGAGACAATACAAACAGAGGGATTAAACTTAATATAAATATTACTTTTTTTAAAAAGTCAATGTGTTACCATTTAGCATTGGTTGAGGTATTAATAATGTCTGACTCATGTCTAATAGTCACCAGATATTGAGAGAGATCATGGGCAACACCTGTATTCTATTACATGCTTTATCTTAATGATAACATAAGAACACAAACCAGAAAGGTCGGTTCTTATCATTGATTGCAAAGAAAACATACACCCCATCTTAAATAACTTCATGAAGTACATTTATCATGTTTGTATTAAAGTTATATTCCTCCATGTTTAAACTCAACTCAACTAAAATAGTTATGTTTTAACTTTGTTTTGATAGTTTTTTTTACAGAAAATGAGTAACTGAGAAAATAACTGGAAGATAATGCTAAACATTTCTATGAAATAAATTAGCAGAAAAGTGTCCGCTAAGGTACCTGGATCCGAATCAATCAGTCAATTCATGAAAGATCAAACTTTAGGAACTACATTGCTAAATGACAGCGTGCAGTTTGATCACACTCAGCACCTTTAGTCATGCACTTCTATTTAAGTACTTTCAGTTCCTCTTGTTTCTGCTCCTCTTATCCCTTCCCTTCACTGATAGCAAGCAGCATGTCTGTATATAAATCACAGGTGCTCTTCTAGTTTCCATATGGCGTAGATCTCATGTTGCTTTGTTGACAGCATGTGGTGTATTTAGTGTCCTGTTTGGAAGTTAATTCATTCCAGGCTGAACTCAACTCAACTCAACTGGGGGGGGGGGGGTGAAATTCTCACGTGTGTGTATGTGTGGAGGATTCTTCTCATACAGAGAAGCTATTCTTTCCCAGCCTGTCTGCAGCACCACTGACACACAGACCTAGAAACACTGAACTCATAATCTACATCCACACACAGAGTAGAAGAAGAGGAGGAGAAAGAGGACTACGACGACGACGAGGACGAGGAGGAGGAGGAGGAGGAGGAGGAGGAGGAGAGGGAAAAACCCCGGCAAGTCGACCCCTTTTGGCAATAAAAAACAGCATTGTGCTCGGAGACGAATGCTCTTCAGTGACGTCTTTGGCCTGAAATTTAACTGCGAAAAACGACTTAGTGAGGCAGCTGTGCGTTTGGCAGGCGAGAGCTGGGGGCTGCAGAGGGACAGTGGACCCCCTGCCCAATTCCCCTCCTGTCCACCCCTCCTCCTCCTCTTCTTCCCCAGGAATTCACATCCCAACTCTCTCCTTGTCTCCAACAGCTTCTCTCGCCTGTTCTTCTTTTTCACTTTCCCTCCCCGTGTTTCTTATCATCAGAAGCAATAAAAGTGAATGGTTTGTGTTGATAAATAGTGGGAAAAGCTATTAATTTGTTCAATATCTAGGCACAAAACAAAGGCAGCATTTAGACAAATAGTCCCTTGGCCCGCCTGCATTAACTCAGCAGCTGGATCTCATTATGGAATATTGTTCTCTTTCAAAAACCGTATTCTTCCCACCTGATGGAGTCATTCTCCTGCCTCTCTGCTCAACCTTATTTCATAAACCGGTTCAAAGACAAAACCTGAAAAAGCGAGTGCAACATCCAGTAAAATAAACTGGGGAACCCTAACATACAGTTTCCACGTTTTGTATAGGGGCTGAAACCCCCCACGTGAATCTAGTGTAAACTAGTAGAGAAGCATGATTATGTGGTACAGTGCTGAGGTGGGGAGGATGGAGGCACAGAGGCTGGGTGTCCTGGTCTCTGAGGGGCACTGGGTGTGGTGGGATAGTACTGGACTGGAAAAAAGCAGGAGCTGGGGGATCCCCCCTTTTCCTTGTTTCCTTCCACTACAGACTTAGACTGTCTCATGGGGATATACAGTGCAAGACAAATTCAGAGTTAATCCCTCCTCCGGAAAAAAAAAAAGCTGCTAAAATAAATGTTTCAAATCATGAGAAAATCCAGTACTGGTAAAAACAGCATCAACTCATTAATGTGTTACCAATATGTGGCAGGATACAAGGTGGCATTAAGTGAAATGAGGCGGCACAACAATGAGGTTTAAAAACGGAAATTTGGAACTGAGGACTTAGTCAGACTCTTAGCTGTCCTTACAAGCATTTTGTCTGATAAAATACTTTAGAGTGGATCTTGAATTATTGGAGTCCACCTGCCATCAATCTGCATAGCTGACCAACAAAACAAACAATGTCTTCTCTGCTTCTCATGTCAGGAACTGGGATTTTTAAAAACTAGCAAAAAAAAAAGCAATTTTCAAAGATCTCAATCTGTGATGTGATCAGTAAGCGGCTGATGTGGTCATCTACAAGCTTCTTTGTTTCAGACGCAATTCTCTGGATTCTGGGGCAGGAAAAGAGGTCAGATTTAAATCCAGAGGCTCTGTCCTTCGCTGGTGTCCTTTCGCCCACCACAGAGGAATGTCTTGTAGCACTAAGGCTGCTGTGACTGGGCACAATTCTGCTGAGGAAAGTGTCAGAGCCAGAGAGAAAAGAAAAAAAAAAAAAAAAGAAAGAGGAAGAAGTGTTGTGTTGTCTGTTGCTCTGCTCAGTGTGTAGGCCGCCGTTACAGCCGCGTCTTTCTCAAACACATACAAAGGCTGCTCTGACAAGAGGAGAAACAGGCAGTGAGGGAGTGGCAGAAGGGGGAGCCCCATTGGGTAAAGAGGAGTAAAAAGTTACTGAAAAAACTAAGGTTGCATCTATTGTTGAGAATCATGAAAACTCAATGGAATTAATAATTCTAGCAAAAAAAAAAACACATCTAGAAACATAAATCTAAATGAAAAGGTTTTTGAGAGACTTCCTGCAACACAATTGTGCACCAATTGTGTTGCAGATCTGGAATAGGTTTCAGGTTCCAGCAACACCCTCCAATCAAAGCAATACAACAGTATCTAATCGCCCAATCAAAGCAGGGGCATGAAAAGCGAGCCGACTTTAGCCATGCCATGTTTGAGGCAACGAGACTTCTGGGTAACAGATGGAGCTGATACCATATCCCTCGAGTGGCCATCTGTGTAGAAACATACAGCGCCACACAGCACACACGCCCCTCTTGTTGTGGTTAGTCTACAAGGACACACCATTTCCTCTGGCCTCTTTCTTTGGTGCAGTATTTTTGTTTCCCCAGTTGTCACACAAGCCTGGGTCAGCACGCATTTGGTCTCAAAGAATGGTTTTATGTCAAAAAAGATACCTTGAGGACATAAACACTTTCTGTCGTAATTCTGTCTGCAATACCCCATCGTTTAAAACAACATAGAGTTTATATAAACAGAAAGAATGTGGATTTTTCTTTGTTCTTGTTCTCTTTTTCTTATCTAGTCTTGTGTACATCTGTGAGGGAATCACTCAAAGCTCTCCTTATTCTGGCACAGTTCCCCTCGGATTAGCACAAGTTTGAGCCACAGCAGCAACATCAGAGAAAAAGTAGCTTACTGTCTAAAAACTTGATGTACACTGTGACATCACATGGCATATTAATGATAAAAAAATTATGGGAATGTTGTTATAATTCAGTGAGAAAGCCAAGTTAAAAAGCCCTCATTGGAATACTGGTTTTAAAAAAAATAGGAAATTCTAGATCATGTAAACACTGTTCATTGAGGGGGTTAGGTCAATCATGTCAGACATGAATTCTGAAGAATTTTGAGGTACGGCGATCTTGTGTTCATTGTCAGAATATCTGTGAAATGGATGATAATTTTTTTCTCTTCTGTATGAACTTTGTTAAATCTATTAGAGGAGCTGGTCTTGCTGTTTGTCTTTGTTTGTTTTGTTATATGTTCCCTGTGTTTAAGTGTGTATGACTGTATGTGTGTTGGGCCCCAAAAGAAGAATAGCCAATGCGTATGCTGGTACTAATGGGGATCCTAATTAAAGAAAAAGTAAAGGTCAGTACCTCCTCCTGCGAGGCATAGTGAGGGTCTTCAGGGTCCACTGACCAGTAGCAGTAATCGAAACAGAACTCCAGAAGCTTCTCCCTTGAATCCACAGCACCATCTGTACGTCCTTCCAACTTCAGGGAGGAAAACCAGAGGAGAAAAGCACGGAACAGTTATTTGTTATCATCCATTTTTTTCATTTGATAAATAAACTAGAGTGAAGGCGAGAAAGAGAACATTTCTTCTGATACATAACAAGACAAATTCAATACAAAATACATGCCAAACAACGTATAATGAAAAGCAGCTGTCAACAAAATAGGGGGTGATATAATAAAGCCAGGTACTTTAGCTTTTGTTTATGAGACTGCTGTGGTGTGAAATTGCAAGCAAGCTGTTTCCATTCATTAGCGATGCATTCACTGCTCCTCCAATCCTTTAGTCGCCTCACTGCATCAACACTGAACACTTTTCTGCTTACAGCGAGTGAATCCTGAACAGCAGCATTGGAACTTGTCCAGGCACAACAATTGTACTGGTAAACAGTAAATAAGCTTGACATCTCTTCTAAATCACTGCATTCAAACTACACAGCTCAGTAGTTCTCATTGACATGACCCAACTTTAAGGGCATAGATGTGTCCTGATACTTTAGTTACCTTCAACGTGTGACAAAGACATGCAATGTTTTTAGTGTTGTGTCAGATGTACCGACTTTACCTTAAAACACCAAACTCGAAAATCATGTATTTTCACTGCAATAAATCTTAGCTCTATTGAGGTTATTGAGGGTTTTTTCTTTCTTTCAATGGAGTACTTTAATTAGCAACTGCGACTGATTTCCTAAGAATGTTTTGCTCAGTGATTGTTGATAGAGCTAGGTAATATATTATTAAAATGTCAGTGTTGTAACTTAAGTTGATATTGCCTTGGATTTAAGTCATCATGAATTCTGAAACATGATTCATGCAACAGTCACAAATGATGGATTTAATGGGCTGTTGTAGTGAGGTTTTAAAAAAAAAAAAATGATGGTTGAAAAATGATCTGTGCAAAATAGTTCCCCACTGAAAACTTGGAACATCTTCAATTATTAGTAATGCACACCTTTAGTTTTGATGAACCTGTTTTATGTGTAAATAATCAAACTTTAAGTGTTTATCATTATTGAGTTATATTGCTTGTGGAACATCATTAACAAGTATTGTATCCCAAAAGCAATTTCCTCTCATATAAAATATTTAAGAGTGACACAAATCCTGATCTAAATTTCGTTTTTGTGCGCTTGTTTATTCTACGATCAGACTCAATTGTATCTATGCCGCAAAGTTTTTGAGATGACATCAGGGTATCATGTTGGAGAGTGATGGTTCAGTTGCAATAACAGCGTCACTGGAGCTGGTTGTTGTAAATGCCCAGCTCAAGGACATTTCAGTGACTGACACATGCCAACGAGAGAGCTTTGAGAAGGGTACTTAAGCCACTGTAACAATCGGTTATTTATCCAAGTGATGAAGCAAACATCAGTGCAAAAAGCCTTTCCATGCTCTGAATGAGGTGATGGGCAATGCTAAGCTCAGGGTATCAATTTTGTTCACAGCAATTGGTTTGCCTGAAAGCATGAGCGTTTAACCCTTCAGCCCACTTTGGATGTCCAACAATGGGCCTTAAAGTGGAAGGGCTTAGCCAAACCTAACAGCAGCCAACAGAGATCCAATCGCTGATAAAACTGACTGGTTTCAAAACTTCAGACTTTTTCTTTTTTTCAACCTGTTTAATTTAGTTCAGTCGTTTTTTTTTCTTTTATAGCTACCGCTTCCTGCTGTTTGTTAAGTTAGCCTCGTGTTTATTGTCCTTTAAAATCCATCCTCATTTCTTTCTGTCTCAGATCCTCCAAAAACTGTCCCACTTTCCATAAATAATCATTCCCAGGAGACCAACTGCAGCATGGAGTCTTGATCCTTTTCCATGCAGAGGGAGGCCATATGTGGTTTGTCTCTGTCACATTATTTGTAACAGATTCTCTCCTCCCCCACCAGACTTCTTTCTGATACGTCAGAATCGAAAAATCCAACAGTAAACAGGGCAGGGCGATTCTTTAACTGCCAATTTGATCAATATTTACAAGATCCAGATTTACCTGAGTTTGGGTGTGGTTATACCAAAATGTGAAGTTTACAGCAATGAATCCGAAGCTGAATTCCTTTAGATTCTTGTATATTTGGATTAGCTGTAAACATTTGAGATGAACTTGTTGATGAATCAATTCTAAAGTATTTCTCATCTATGAGCTACACCCATCAAATACACAGTACAATACAACAATACAAGTTTCATCATATCAGTATGAGCTGCTGCAAACATTCACAAGCAGAACATAGCGTCACATGCTCTAAACTGAAACAGTAGAAACAGCCCCAGCCTGCCTGGAAGGCGATGATGGAGCTCAACCAATCACAGACGTTTTCAACGCCATCTGACACAGCAGGTTAGTGAAAGTGTCGGCTTACACGGTAATTATTCCCAAATGTTCAGAACCTTATGGAAACTAATAAGTGAAACTAAAAACAAACCAAAAACTCTTCTTCTCAAAACTTTCTGCTTGCCTTGCAATCAGGACTGTTATCAAAACAACCTAAGACCAGACTCCCTGTTAAAAACACCTCATTTAACACATGTTTGTGTTCTGTATTTTATTTGCTTTAGTTTTTATTTGGGAGGATTCTCCATCAAAGAAGTTCTTCCAGAAGCTCAATCTCTTTTATTGTCTGACGTTAACTGCAGCTGTGTTGCAGTTCATTAGTGCGACGAGTATCAGTGCACATGTTTGACAGGAAGGGTCTCTCAATCTGTGTATATATGTGTGTGTGTGTGTGTGTGTGTGTGTGAGCTCAACACATATAATAAAGAACAGTGACATCACAAAGTAAAAGGCTGTGCCAAAGCTGTAAACATCCTGTCGCTGTGATAAATAGCCTCTACTCCCAATTCCCCGAGTCCTACCAGCAACAATCACACACAAACAATTTAATTCTGGATATAACTCTGCATGATGTTGTTGTTTATTTCAGTCACACTCACCTTTACATTTCGAATCTTCACAAACTTGTCCTCCACCTGTACTGCTAGCCTTCCTGCATCCGCACTCTCCCTGTGAGCAGAAAGAGAATGATTCCTTCAATTCAGATTCAGATTCTATTTTTTTCCCCACAAGGGGACGATGGTTTTGCAGCAGGAGCACACAGAAGACAACATAAACAACAGCTTCAACTTAATACTCGTATGAACATTAAAATGTGTCAAATGATGAAAAGATGTAAGCAACTCAAACAGAATTGATCAGTGTTCACAACAGATGTGAACCAGACAGAGATTTAACAAAAGTTTCACTTTGGATTCAGCTTAATGGGTTTAAAGTTCTCTTTTGGCTGATGCGGATCTAATTGAAAGGGTGTCCAGATACATTTGAACCAGTTCCACTTGACTTGAGGCCATCACATGACAGCTAACACAATGAATCGGATTGTGAGTGTGTGCCTGAAAGAGAGCCATGAAATTGCCACTAGTTTCAGATTCAAATGAAAACAGACCCCCAGAAACCCCAGAGGCTTCCTCTGATGAGGCAGTCTGGGTTGTCTCCACACGGGCACGCACAAGTCTTGTGCTGTGCGACTGTGCGTGAGTTAGTGGGAACCAGTGGATGTCCTCGCATGTGTGTAAAACAAGGTCAACTCAGCTATTCGAGCTCCAGCAGCTGGACCAAGCACCATCTGATGCAACACATGCGAAACTGGAGGCAATCACAACACAGAGCTGAAAGTTTTTCGATCTCCAGGAGCGATAATGACGATGAATACTGCCGCAGCCAGCTTCTCGCTGTGCCTCCGAGGTGGGCTGGGTGGAGGGGGGGGGGGGCAGACCAGGAGGCTGTTGTAATCGTCAGCTCTCTCTGTGCTTCAGCAGGCGGGACTGATTTTGCCAACCCCAGCAGCGGCCCAACCCAAAACCACTAACCTTCAATCTCAGGCCCAAACTAGCATGAAGGAGAGGAGGTCTGAGGCAGGAAAATAGTACGCCTCGTAAAAAGAAGTGTTTTGATACAAACCTAAGACGAGCAATTACACAATTGGGCTGGCACACTTTTTGCACTGCAGGAGGCTGCTTTCATTCTAATGGGGAATTAAGCCTATTGGTCGGCTAAAAACAATTGGTAGCACACTTACATACCAAACCTAATGAGGAATGCAGCTAACTAGGCTGGTGTTAATGTTATCTCTGTCCCATAGCACGCTCTTATTCATAAGGAAGGAAATACAACCTTCACTTAAAAAAAAGAAACAGAGAAGAGCAGAGGACAGTTAGAGTGTCAGAGCCTGAAATCAGGAAGCTCAGATTTGCATTACAGTGAACATTATGTATAAAATATTCTTTTGTAATGCAAAATACCAGGAAGGACTGGCTAAAAGAATCATTGTTCAGCCCTGCATAGCCTGAATAATGCTTTGTTATGGTATTGTAGCAGCCTTTAGAATAAGTTCCCCCACAATCCATCCGTTCCTGCAGGAGTTGAAAATAATGCAATGTACTACTATAGAACTGTTTTGTACTTTATCCTAAGATCCTGAAGAGCTGTTATTTTATTTAACATGTTGGAGCAATCCACCTGTTAGTGTAAAGGGAGAGCAAAGCTACTTTACAACCTCCTTGTGTTACTTTGCTACTTAAACAGCAGACTTCACTGCACTGTAAAAACAAGGGCAAAAAATATATTTTCCATAAAGGCCTCTCACTTAACAAAGCAAACGGCTTTACAATAATAAGTCGACGAGGACTGATTTCTGTTTAATCTGAGAGTGCTGCTGACAGAGTTGATTATTTGTTCAACAGAAAACAAAGGCTCGAAGTCCTGAAGAGTTCAGTTGACCTAATCTTCTTTCCATTATTTCCATGTTGTGAAATTAACCTCTTAAACACAACATCATCTGAGCATAATTAACTACTTAGTATGCACAGGAAAACTTGTTCAAAGGTTAATTAAGATTAAAGTGGTGACCCCAAATGCTCCAAAGATATTAATACATATTGGAGGAAATATGCAGACAGTGGTCTACATAACATTTACATATGACAAGCCAAAGAAAACGCCTGTAAACATTTATAAACACAAACATTGTGTTTAACAAAAGGTTAAACAATTTGATACACCATATACTGCATATGATACTGTATGAGATTGTGGAATTTGATGATTGAAGGTGAGAATTATTAATTAAGTGTAAATAAATAACAATTTGTTATTACAATTTGCCTGCACAAAAGATAATATTATCAGGTGCTTTGTTTTGTTTGTTTACCTGGACAACAGTCAAAGATATTGATTTTTACTGTTACATAAAAAGAGAAAGCAGCTAATCATAAATATCAGAGAAGCAGGATATATGACTCAATCAGTTTATCAATGATAGAAATAGTGAAAGATCTATTAACAGATGAGTTTATGTCAACTTTCATTTAGGCTCCAACATGTTTTTTCAACCTTTGAGCTAATAAAGTGGTACAATAAGAGAAAACTGAACGCTAATGGGTGGACATTGTCAAGCTTCTTAAATGACCTTTACTGATTCATACAGAAGATGATTAGGGACAAATATTTGAAATAAATAATGTTAAAAGGGAGAAGATTGTTTTACCCATTATGCACTTCAAGAAAAGAGTTGAGAAAAAAAAAAATTAAATACAAAAATGAAATTGAAATGTTGAGAATAAAGTTGAAACATGATTTCGAGAATAAGGTTGAAATTTGAATAAAGTTGAAATGTTGAGAATATAGATGAAACATGAATTCAAGAATAAGGTTGAAATGTTGAGAATAAAGTTGAAATGTTGAGAATAAAGTTGAATAAAGTTAAAATGTTGAGAATAAAGTTGAAATGTTGAGAATCAAGTTGAATAAAGTTGAATAAAGTTGAAATGTTGAGAATAAAGTTGAATAAAGTTAAAATGTTGAGAATAAAGTTGAATAAAGTTGAAATGTTGAGAATAAAGTTGAAATGTTGAGAATATAGATGAATAAAGTTGAAATGTTGAGAATAAAGTTGAAATGTTGAGAATATAGATGAAACATCAATTTCAAAATAAGGTTGAAATGTTGAGAATAAAGTTGAATAAAGTTGAAATGTTGAGAATAAAGTTGAAATGTTGAGAATATAGATGAAACATCAATTTCAAAATAAGGTTGAAATGTTGAGAATAAAGTTGAATAAAGTTGAAATGTTGAGAATAAAGTTGAAATGTTGAGAATATAGATGAAACATCAATTTCAAAATAAGGTTGAAATGTTGAGAATAAAGTTGAATAAAGTTGAAATGTTGAGAATAAAGTTGAAATGTTGAGAATATAGATGAAAAATCAATTTGAAAATAAGGTTGAAATGTTGAGAATAAAGTTGAATAAATTTGAAATGTTGAGAATACCGTTGATTGATTCAGTGAAGAAAGTTGTAATGTCGGCAATGAGGTTGGAAAAACATGAAATCTACACTAATTATTTTCAACATTTCAATTTTTTTCTCAAACTGCATCATGACAAAACATCGTCCTCCTCATTATTTAATTCTAATGCCTGGCCCTAATCCTCCTCCGTAGATTCATCCCAGGCCACCACTCACACACAAAGTGGCAGAAATCTGTTTTGGAAACATCACAATTAAATTCTAATTATAGTCACACCCAGTTTGCCCATGCTGATTGACTTTGTGGAAAGATAAATAGCAGCTGCTTTAATCTAACTCAGCTACAATTTTTGTACATTACTCAGCACAGCACACACACACACACACACACACGCACAGTTGTTCTGCACACAAGGCTGTTAGTGAGACAACACAGCTGACAGCCACAGTTGTCATTATTCCCCATGTGCACCACTGCACATAGAGGTTTTCTAAGAAGCTAAACAGCCAGTTTAGCTTCACGTTCAACCTGCCATAACGCAAAAATAAAAAAAACGCGCCATTAGATAAAAGTAAACACACGAAGCTAAAAGTCATGTGTAGTAATAAAAACAAACAAAGCAACAGCCAGAGGACAATGGCAGAGAACAGCGGAAACATAACGTGAGATATGAAGGCAGTTTCTAATTTATTAAACCATTTATTTAGCCTTATATTAGTTAGCAGTGTATGAACTTACCTTGCATTAGGAGGGCGAACACGAACGGCAACTTTAACGTTTGCCATGATGCCTTCACGGTGATTTCTACACTTCACTCATCGGTTTACCAACTCTGAGCTGCTGTGGAATAACTTATCGTTGTCCCGTGAATGCATTTTGAGTCTTCTTTCGGGTTTATTCCGATTATTTAGGGCTGAGTGAAACGCTTTAGCCATCCGCTGTCCGAGTCATCTCTGTCGGGCATCGGTCGAGGGTTCAACCGCCCGCCGCCGAGTCTCTTACAAAAAAAAGTCTCATCTGAAGTGAAACTTCCTGTTGGACAGAAAAGGGAGGAGAGGGAGGGGCGATGCTCCTGGAGACTCCTCCTACTTTACCATATTTACATCTTTTTTTTTTTTTTTTTTGCATGTCTGTTATTATTCAAATCCCCACCAATGGTTTTAAAAATGAAACTTAGGGATTGTACTTGATTTAATTGATTGGTAATTATCTGATTTGCGGAGGTTTTTTTTGTGTGTGAAAATGTAGATCTTCACGGGCTGTGAGAAAATAACAGAAGATGTTATGAATCTTAAAAATCCTATCCTGCAAAATCAATAATTGATTAGTTGCCATCTGTTATGATTATCTTTTTTTTTTTTACAAAAAACGAATTTGGGGAGTTTTTCAGGAAATTAATCACATTTCTTGATTTCAGCTTTTTTTTTTTTAAGCCTATTTTCTGGTTTCTTTTCTCAGTTAATGGTAAATGGTAAATGGACTTGAGCTTATATAGCTCCAACTACTCAAAGCGCTTTTACACCACGTTACACCCACCCATTCACACACTGATGGTAGTGATGATCGCTATGTAGTATCATCCATCAGAAGTAACTAATCCCATTCATACACCACCACCGAAGCAGCGGGAGCAATGCAGGGTTAAGTGTCTTGCCCAAGGATATATCGGACATTTGGCCAGCTGGGGATCGAGCCCTTGACCTTCTGGTTGAGAGGCGACGACTCTGCCAATTGAGCCACAGCCGCCCCACTATGGTAATAACTTGACTACTTAGGATTTTGGACATTAAATGCACTTTGCTTGGACTTCATGAAGCTCGGATCAAAAGTTTAAACCATTTTTGACTATTTACAAGTCATGTAACCGAACAAGAAAACAATTAAAGATTATAAATTAAAACAAGAATCGTAAGCTACAAAATCAGAGCAGGTTACATCTTTATTGTTAAATTTATTTTACGGCAACATAAAAAATATTTCAGGTTTAAAAGCAGCAGGAGATACAACAGTCGTTCAACATGAACAAAAACAAATCACAAACGCGGTTTGGCATTCATGAAATAAACATGCAATCACTAGTAGTTGCGGTCAAAGGCAATGTGTGAAAGTGCTGTACTAAAATGAAGACATTAATTCTCCACAGAGTGTCTTTAAAATCAGCATTTTAAGTCTCGATAGATTGAACTATGGCTTGTAAAGAGATACCTTACATGTGAAAATTGAGAAAATAATTGTATGTCTAATTGCCTAGAGCTAAAATTATTAAGTGCTAGACAGAAACACATACAGTGCATATTCTGATGTTCACCCTTCATATGTCAATGCTAATTCCTTGTTAAAGTCTAGACCTTTTGATCTACTAATACTTCCATCAGACTGAACAGATTCAAAGTTCAACATGTATAAAGTTTGAGATGTTGTGGACCCTTGTTCTTTCTGACTGGCAGGGCTTCACTGCGTTTCACACTGACACCTTACCAAAGAGGGATTCATAAAAGGCTGCTGTCACTGCACCGTGGAGCAGCTTGGATGTGCTGTGCGGTAGAAAATGATCAGGAAATTGGCACAAAAACGTTCTCTCTTTCTTGAGGGACAACACTGACAGAAGTGACATGAAACACTGAGGCGCTCGGAGAAAAGATGCTGTGGGTTTCACTGGACGTATTACTGTAGTCATGTAGCGCCCTCTACTGTCTGTTGTGACACCTTCAGCATGTCCAGATGGCTTTGCAGCTCAGCCAGAGGCGACTGAGGCTTAATACTCTGTGACTGCAGCTGAAAATTTTCTATTAGCTCCTGAAATGACACAAAAACGAGAGAACAAAGTCAGGAGGAGGCAGATAGAGGAGAAGAAGTCAAAAGAGGTCAGATCACTGCTGAAAGAAAAACCACTTCAAAGGGAATATGTGATAACAAGGAAGAAGCTCACCGCGGGCAAGGCCAAGTTTGTTAGTTTCTTCCAATGAGATACGACCTCTTCCTGGCTCAGGACCCCTCTTTCAACCAGCTGTCTGACCAGGAACAGGTAGTTGTTCCACTACAAGGACAAAGACATACAGTACGAATGGTTAAGAATGTACAGAGGCATGATCCATCAGGGAAATAAGCAGTCGAAGAAAAGCTTAAAATGTAACTCACAAATCAATCAATGGATTAGTTTTGTAGAAATAAACCACACAGAATTATTTACAACAAATGATGTGGAGAATTAGAGCATGCTGGTGGTTGGATGGTTCATTAAAGACCATGAACCTTTGCTTAATGCTTTTCTGTATGTCTCTTTACTACCAGATGTCCAACAAGTGCAAAAAAGCTGGTAAGTTCCTCTTATATAGAATCTATATTATCTGCAATACACTTAAAAGCTCCTTTTGGGATCGTAACACAGGTAAATGTAAAGATTCAGGAGAAACACACTGAATTAAAGACAGTGAGACCTGCTAAAACTAAAAATGATCCTGTTTTAATCATGCTAAACGTCTGAGAAATTGCATTCAAGTGTCATATTTTAAGCTTTGTATTTAAAACAAAGATTGATTTCAATGTTTTGAGCAAACATTCCAAGCCTGTTACTTTAAAGCATTGATCTACAATCCTTAAAAGGGTTTAAGGGGGCATAAATATTAAATTCAATGAGGGGGAATACCATGTAAATGTAAATAGAATAAGTCAAAGTATTATTGTAACTTTGGTTCAAGTCACAGAAGATCTGGGAGACACACCTCAGTGTCGCTGGCCTTCAGCACAGCAGCGACAGTGAGCGGGGTGAAGAGAAGGTGGAGGGGGGCGGAGGAGCAGCACGCTCCTTCCCACAGCTCAGCAAGCTGCTCCAGCAGTGCTCTGACTGGAGGCTCTGACCCGGAACAGGACCCACAACAACCCCGTCACCTTCGTCGCAGACTGGCGGAGGTAGCACTGGAAGCTCTGCAGACACTGAGCAAGTACACACACAACTTACAGCTCTTACTACACACAGACTTGAAGTTGCCTCCTTAGTTTCATAGCTCATGAAGCAATTTACAGTTTACACACTTCATGCAATAAAGACATAGTATCCCTTTAATTAAGAGTCTATCATTCATGGCACAAATTCTCTTACCCAGTTTGCAGGCTAGTAGGACAGTTGTGTTCACCAGCATCTGCTCTGGCACTGCAGTTGAAAACTAAATGAAGAGAAAACAGTGTTGTGAGTATCAGCAAACTCAGTAAATCCATCCATCCAAACACTATGAAGTGTTACTCTGCACTTGTGTGTCTCATGTACCTTCCTGCAGGCAAGTGTTTCTCCCACTCTCTGTAGCAGCGTTATGATCTGAGAGCCAGTCGGCAGCTCCTCGTCAGTCCTGGGGCCGACTGCAACACTTAACAACTCCTACATTGAGTTAAAGCAGACATCACACATGAGAGTGAGAACTTTGGCTTATTATTACTTGTTTTTCCTGAATAACATCATTTTGAAGTTCTACGCAGTTCCCCTCCAAGTATTTCTAATATAACGTCTTCTCGTGCATACAAACCTTCATTTCTATGAGGACGTCAGAGGGCAGTGAAGCCCGGTGGGTGCAGTCTGGAGGGCAGGATGTCACTCTCTCGCTTCCTTGTTTCCTCTTGGGAGTAGTCGACTGCTCCTGAGTGACCAGCTCGACCACATCACTTGACTCTGGAGCCGCCGGGATTCCAATCGCCTTCATCACACGATCGTACCTGCTCTTCCACTCTCGTCTAATCAGGGCTGACGGCAAAAACAGAGAAAAAGGTTCAATCACAGCACTGAGTTGGTTTTGTTACAATGGCAAAGATGTTCTGTTACATGATGTGGGCAGCTCAGAGCACTTAAAGGTTCAATTCTTTAGAGAATTTCACCACTGATTTGTATGTTTTTATACATTTATGATGCAGACTATTTTGATTCTAACATGAAGTTACATGAGTCAATCAGTTCAGATTAACCGATCCAGGAAAATCCCAAAATTATAAACAAATAAATATAATATTTTTTCATATTAATAAATACGTTTTTTTCTTTTCAATGTCTGCAACAGTACACAAAAATTGTCTTTTTAAATAGTCGATTTTTTGGGAGCTGATATCAATATAACTTATTTTGCTTAAAGGCACAGTATGTAGATTCCACCACCAGGGGGCTCTCAATCAATACGTCAAAAGATGGCGTTGAGGCTGGCGGGGAATCATGGGAGTTTTCTGTGCTACTCCACGACAGCAGCAAATACAGCAACACTACAGGAGCGCTCAGTAGCTGTTCCCGCTTTAAGTAGTGGTCTTTGACGTAACATCCAGTGTTTCCACGGCAACGATAAATATGTTGCGGCTGCCACGATAAGATGCGTCCAGTTACAACTATAAAATTACGGATTTCTCTGGCTTTGATAACTGTTGGAAATATTTGAGTGAATGTAAGTACTCAACAAAAAAAATAAATATATATATATCATAGGTTAAGTCATTTTTATTAATTTAGATATTTTAATGTAAAAATTTGATTATGATATCTTCTTACATAGAGGCAGGCCCTCTGAATTAAACAATATCAAAAGCTTGTATCAACAAATATTCTACTGTGTCCAAGGAACAGAACCAAAGGCATGGTGCATTCATGGCGCTACCTGTGATGTTGGCTGAGAGCCAGCTGCAGGCTTTTTCCGTTGCAAGACGTTTGGTGATGTTTTCAGATGTGGTCAAGACCTGCAGAGAGGTAGTGAGTACAAAACACTGAATTAAAGCCTTTTCTCTTTCCTGCTTAATAAAACATGTAGAAATGAAGTGTTTAATTACATTTTTTGTTTTTAAATGACATGATTTTTGCAGAACTTACAGACAATGAGGTCTCATCGGGGAGCAGAATTCGTATGGCTTCAGGACTTTTCTCATCGCAAAATCTGGAAAGTCACATAAAAAAATAGATTACCATAAAGAAGAGAGTACAACGCAGAGGAGAAATAATGATGGTGTTAACGCAAAAAGTGAATCGACCATTAAAATAATCCTCGAATCAATCAATTAGCAACTCTTTTCTCATGCATGCACATAGGCTCTTAGTGGAAGTATCCTGTTAAATCTACAGACTTGTAAAAGAAGCTGTGGTACCTGGTGGCTTTAGCCAGCGCCTCCAGCCCAGCGACACACAGTTGAGCACAGATGGAATCATTCAGTTTAGAAGGAATTGAGTTTGGTGACTCCAGTCCACCTTTCAGCATCTTTTCCCCTCGCTCCACCAGCTCGCTCACTAACGTTGCCCTGTGGAGTAATCAAACAGAGATAGAAACACATTAATGGACACACACATATAACAAATATGTTTGTATTATGTTCAAAAAATAAGGTGAGATACAGGCACTGCAAAAATACAACTAAACGTTGTGTTGAATTCTCTCCTGCCGCTGATAAATCTGGACTGTTGAACAGTCACTAGCCTTTTAGGAAGGCAACCAACCAAAGCATCAGGTTTATTGCCTCCTATTCTGAAAGTCTTTTTCAATTCTAAAACCTAATTCTGCTGAAGGTTAAAGAAATGTGATGGACACGGTCAATTTGAAATATTTTACGGGCTTATGTGCACTCCTCAGACTCAGCTTTGAGATACTAACTTCATGTGCTTGACGGCGTTGGATCCAACTCTCTCTGCCACAAACTCCACGGTGCGCCGCAGCGACGGGGGCTGGTTGTGGAAGAAGGCTTGCTCGAGGTCCACCTGTCACATTTAAGAAATTGGTTGGAAACATTTGCACACGGGTAACTCTGTGACGTCACGCTATATTCCACTTGATCCCCTTCTGACTCACCTGTAGTTTCTGCTGCGACCTGTTGGCGATGGGCGCGTCCTTGAGCTCAGCAGAAGTCGGCGTGATCTTGCGAATGATTCCTCCGCTTTTGGCCGTGTTTCCAGACACAAAGGCAGCGAGAAGCTTACGGAACTCACCTGGACGGATAAAAAGCCAGCTCAGCCTCAACAAGTAAATGGTACTTAGCGGCAATCTGCTTAAAAGCCTTTTAACTTTCCTACAGTCACTACAGAATTAGAAAATAAACGTTAATAATGAATTATGTGCCAATATTCCGAGAGAGAAATGAAAAGATGTTTTTCCCCTCACCAAGAAATGGACAGCATGTATAGAGAAGCTGCTGATCCACCAGAGGAATGCAGTCCTGCAACAAACCAAGAGATAGCTCAGTATCGAAAGAAGAGCACTGGTGGACATAAAGATACCTGAATGAATATCCCACTCACAAGTCCTGTAGCACTCGTGATGCTCTCCTCCAGCTTTGCCACCTCAGTGAAATCGTTGGTGAAGAAAATGTCTTCGGGAATCACTGGGATCTGCACAAGGTCAATGAATACTACTGTCAGACAAAAGTAAAGTGAGCTCTGGATGATTTTTTGATGACTTATTTATATGCCATTTTACAGAAAGAATAATAAATCATATCGGCATTGTTGCGTCTCACCTGGAAAAGCCAACCCAACACAGACACCATAAGCAGCTTGTTCAGGTAACACACTTCTCCACATCTGTCCAGCAGCATTCTCCTGCAAGAGCAAAGAAGTGATATTTCATAAGTCATGAGAAGAAGTTTTTTTTTTTTCTAGAAGGGAGCATGAGAAAAATAAAAACTTTGTGTGTCTAAGATTCTTTGAATACATTTTCTATGCTTCTTTTGGCTTGATTTTTTTTTTTTCTTTACACCTTTGCTTCTTGGATTTTGTTTCCTGTGTACCCAGGTCAGATTCAATTGTATGTGCAAAAGTTCCCAGCCAATAAAGCCGATTCTGATTCAGATATTTGGTTGTTGTATCATTTGCTGAAGTTATTATTAATATTTAGATGGTTTATCGGGTTATTGATTAATATGTGATTCTATCAAAGCTGATCGTTATTTTCATACTTGGAGGTGAACAAAGACAAGCTCAGGTGTTTCTTATAGTATGTTCATGTGACGCTGCTATTTCTTGATTATGGGGCAGCTGAGGCTCAGTTAGTCCATTAACCCTTTGATAAAAAGTACTTACTTTGTATTTAGTAAGTATGCAGAAATGTAAACAGACCTGTACAGCAGAAGCAGTGTGCCCAGTACAGTTCTATAGCAGAGCAGCAGAGGACCGATGAAGTCCAGCATGGAGAGGAACTCCACCAGCCAGGGCACTGTCAGGATGGTGCGCCTCCTCTTCATACTGTTGCTCAGCACAGCGCACACATCCAGCACGGGAGCACTCTGAGGGAACGAAGAGAGAAATGTCTATTGAGGAAATGAAAGGTGAGTTTGGAAATTAAACCTGATTAAACCTGTTTCCTTGATGAGATATATATGGAGGAAAGTGATCTTCTAGGTGAGATTTTTTTCCTGCTTTACTTTAAATAGGCCATGCGAGTAATTACTCTCATTAAATTATTGATACACATTCTTCTTCTTCTTCTGTTCCTCTCACCTTGCTGCGCAGCTCTATAGCGGTCTTCTGTATTTCCCTGGATGGTCGCTCAGCTGTTTGGTAAGGTAGAAAAGTTATGAATCCAAGAAACTTGGCAAGAAGACGAGCGTGAAGCAGCACTGAGGTGAACCGCTGCTTCTCATCCTGTTGAGGTGGATAGAAAAGAGAGAATAAGTTTTAAATAATCCTCATATTACATATATATTATGTCTTCTCTGAATCGGGCCTGTTTGTCATTTCATTATCTATGTGTTATAATTCTCCTTAGGAAAAGAATTATTTAAAAAAATGGTTGTAAAACTAACTTGATTCAAACATATTAAACAAGATCTCTGTGTTTGACTGTGAGAGCATACCTGCTGCTCCATGTCCCCCTCTGCCTCCTCCTCGCCCTCCCCGATGGAAGCTTTAGGGCTCAGGATGGACACCTCATCCAGCTGGAGGAGCTGCTGACACAGACTGTCCTGCAAGTGCTGGTTCAGCTGACAGCTGGAGTGCAATATATAAGACGTTAGTTCACAGAAAGACCACAGACACTGCAGCTTTTAGCTTTGACCAATTTGTTTGGGAAAAGGTAGAAGAAAAAACATCTGCTAATTTAATGCACCACTAGCTAAGAAAGTTAAATTCTGGCCTGTCAGGTTAGTTATCACTGAAACTATGTGTACGTGTTGGGTTTATATAGTATAAATATGTGTTACTGTATGTCTCACCAGCTGGCTGTCTGCAGGAAATCCCTGAAGAACTCCTGGTGACCAGGGAAGGATGGAGGAGGGCAGGGACCCGCGACTCCATGAGGCTGAATGAGACGCTCTTCAAGACGCTTGAGACGGCCCAGGCTGTCAGCTCCCAGCATGCCCAGCAGGTCAGCATCAGGGGTATCTCCAGGAGAGCTGTTCACCCGAGGGCCTTTACACATCTAAAAGAAAAAGGCAGTTTCATTGTACAACATGTGAGCAGCATGCACCACCACAATATGTGTTAAGAATGAGACATGTGGAGAGAAAGCATCTCAACCAAAGTAATCGAGGCTGATAGATTTTCATGCGACGTGACACAAAATATCATTGATGATTGATTGTTTAAGTGTGAATAAGATATCGTAGGGTACCTGAACAAGCTGCCTGAGGAAGAGACGGGAAAAGTGGGAATGGTTTCCTGCAGAGGTCAGTTGACTCATAATTCCTCTAAAAAAAAAAAGAAAAAAAAAAAATCAATAAATGGCACAGAGACAAAGTATTAGCTCATTTCTACACTTGCTGCATACGTTTCAAACATGTAAGTAATAACTGTACCGACCTTATCCGACTCCCGAGCACAGAGTCAAAGTTCCAGCCCGGCTCCTTGTGGAAGTCCTCCCATTCTCGCAACACCTCGTAAAAAATATCTCTGAGAAGGCGACAAACACATCCAGTGCAGAGGTGTTACTGATAACAGAGACGGACTGTACAGCAGCAGTTTCTTTAAGAAGTCAGCCTGCTGTTTCAAACAATCTGTTAACATCTAAATAACACTGGACGACATACCTCTGTTTTTTAAAGGTGTGGAAGGCCTTGTCACTACCGAAGTTGGAGCGGTTGTCAGTGGCGGGTTGGAACGAGACCGAGTGAATAAAAGTGGAAACTGAAGGAGAGAGCTGGAACACACGAGGAGAAACAAACACATTTGAAAAAAAAAAAAAGTAATCCACAACACTTTTAATTAGAAAAGAAGTGAAGAGATTATGAACATTTAACAATGAACTAAAAAAGGAATACTGATAAAGGAAGTGGCCTCTTTAATTAATTAATTAAGCTGCAAAACAATACTGTTTTCAATATTGTTTGATTATTTTATCAACAAATCCATTTATATTTTGGTCTACAAAGCAACAAAATTCCCCCCCCCCAAAAAAAATGATTGTAAAGCTCTTGAATAAGTATTGAAAAAGTTGCTCAGCATCGGGTTTTGAAAACAAGAAAACAAACAACAACAAAATTGATGTTTGGTATTTTTGACTTGAAAAATGTAGCTGCAATTGTTCTTCCATTATCAACAGAGTTGCAGATTTATTGTATTTCACTAAAAGTGTCAAGTAATAGACTCTGAACATTAATTTAAACAATGGAATAAAAGTACATGTAATATATAAAACAGGGATTCTGGGACCAATTTCTAATTATATTCCATAAGACTGAGTATTCATAGCTTTGCAATAAAGACAATGTGACTTACTTTGGCTGTGCTTCTGTCCTGGGCCTGAGTCAGACGGTCCCTGAGATCCGGAGAAAAAGCTGCCACCCGTTCGTTCTCTGCCAGCAGACGCAGGGTGCACTTGTCCAAATGAGCTACCAACCTGCCAAGAATAGAGGGTCAGACTCAGGGACATGGAGTCACTTCTGAGAGACTAGAGGACCTTGGTGTCACAAGCAACTGTTTGCCAGAATATTTGCATGTTGGTAAAGAGGAAAATATTTAGAAAAAACATGACGTAAGCTTTAAAAAATACTCACTGAAACTGATTCTCCAGTACCATCACCGCAAAATACACACAGTTGTGTACCTGTCTCAGGTAACATCTCTCCAGGATATCTAAGAATGTGAAAAAGGGTCATACAAATCATACAAAGTTTAAAAATATATTTTATGTGACAGTACTTAAGCCTAATGTAGTACATACCTGAATTCCCTGCGCACAAACTTCCCTGTTCTTCATCATCATGACTGTGAGGAGACTGAGACGTGAGCAACTGCACCACAAAGAAAAGCTCCAGGAAAATGTTTGGCACGAGGTTTTCTGTAAGACGTGAAAACACAAACAAACTCTCTCAATAAATCTCTTTAATTATCTTAATAAACGACACGTCCACAAATCCGTCCATTTTCCGCCAGCTTCCGTTCAATGGCACATTGACTCCACCTTGTGGTCACTCACCAGAGATGCAGGTACAGTACAGCTCGGCCAGGATCTCCAGTTCCATCGAGAAGGTGACTTTGGAAGGTTGAGGACACGGTGTCTGCAGATCTGGTGTAACTTTAGATCCTGTCCTGAGCCCTGACTTGGTCGGGGTGCACGGGTCTAAAGAGGTCGTCAGTGGAGAGCCGACCTGCTGGGCACGCTTTGTCCTGAGAGGGAGATTTGTGGATGTGAAACAGTGCAGGTAAACTGAGTGGAAGAGCAATTCTTGCAAGGGATACAAACACAACAGAAGCGAATATTAAAAATGATTATATTAAAGTTAAATGTAGAAATCTGTAACAATTTAATCAAATATTGATAAAGAGATCTCTCCATTCTCTAACGTGGAATGGCAAGCAGTAGAATGAATGTAGACTTGGCCACGTCAAAGGGTTCAGTGAAACAGTCATCATTTGTGTCAGAATAAGTGGAATCCTTTTGTGCATTCACGTACTTCTCCCTCTTCAGAAGCTCCCTTTCTTCATGCAGGCTAAGAGGACTGCCCACTGCCACGGACCCCTCAAGTGCCTCCACAACTAATGGCGGTGTAGAAGGTTTACTAAATGGCGTGGAGGTGAAGCAGGTTTTCGGTTTTGAGTGCGGCCGCTCAGCACTGACTGGTGTCGGGTTTATTCTTCTGGATGGTTTAGGCGCCCTGAAAGAGACCGGAACTGTCAGACAAAACAAAGCACACACAAAAAAAAAAAAAGAAAAAAAAAATCAAGATGGAAGGATTGTTGACTTTTGTTCAGCTGTACTCACGCCGATGCAATGGGTGACGCCCCGACAGGAGGGAAGTCCTCCAAGTTGCTGAAGTTGAGCTGCCCCACGGATGGAGGGGACACCTGCTGGCTTGTCCTGCCGTGCCCTCCTCCTCCTAAGCTTCCGCCTCGACCCGACCTCCTTACCCCACTCTCCCAGCGTCCTGTGTCATCACCGTGATGTGCCCCCCGCCCTGCTCCATGTTTCCCTTGTCCCACTATTGCCGTGCCGCCGCCGCCGCCACTCCTCCTGCGGCCCTTTTGAGACTGGAAGTTCGGGCTGGGCTGGTGCTCAGGAGGAGACACCATGTAGTCCCCGAGACTGATTCTATTGCTGTGGCGGCGCTCGTTGCCCGACGGCCTGGAGGCGGGGCTCCAAGCCGCGGTGAAAGAAGGGCTGCTGAAGGCGCTGACCCCACTCAGACAGTGTGACCCGGACTGTCCAGCGTCCGGCTCATTTCCAGGTGACACCGAGGAGGCGGGCGAAAACAGCTGGACCCGGCTGGCACTCCGAGAACCGGCTCCGCCACCGGCAGATCTGTAACCCCTTCTGTCGCTGAAGCCCTGCGTCTGGGCAGCGGGTCTCGGGCGGCTGGGGGTCTTGGCGGGCGTGGCAGGGCCATGAGTGAGCGCCTGGCTGCTCTGCTCCCTCAGGAAGTTTAACAGAAAGGGGACAAATTCTTGTTTGTGAACCGTCACGACAGGTTCACTGAATGCCAGGCTGTCATCTTCCTGTTGAAAGAGAGATATTAGAGAACTGGGACGTGCACATTTATAAGACGATCATCCCTTTTATCCATGAAAGACCCAAGGTAGAGATTTACCAGGGCAATGAATATTGTTCTTTACAGCTTCAAGACATTACAGCTGATACAGCCACATGTACACACGTTAGCTGTTTAAGCGCTGATATTTAACTGTTAAACTGCCTGTTCATTTATAAATACTAATGACAGATATATGATACATCATAAACTGCTTTAATTAACCCATGTCACCCTGACTGTGTGAAAGTTGACAACAGCCTCAAATCCATCCCATACGGGCTACAGCTAGCCTAGCTCACTAGCCCTGCAGCTAAAAGTTTTGTTTACAAACAGTTTCCAGCTTTGTCATCTCAAGAAACAGGTCGTATGAGCACGGGCTTTTTTCCAATATGGTCCACCCATGTGGCTCTTTGACATCCCGGAACCAACCTTTTGATTTATTAGCCAGGCCAAGACGGTTTTAATGTCCGCTTTCTTCGACAGGATGGATTCCAAAAGAGCCGCCATTCTGCTGAGGCGCTGCGCGGCTAGAGGACTGAGGGGAAAGGGGGCGGGGTCAGCGGCTACGCAGCCACGTACGCGTACTGCGTATGACGTACTCCAACTAAGCTGCTCTGCTGTCGAGCTGTCTGTCACAGCAGTGGCGGTTCTAGACCACTTTTACTGAGGGGTGCCAAACTGGGGCCAGTTGTTTTGGCAGAGGTGGAAGATTAAACCCAGGTCAAAAATAGACAAAGATGATCGCTTTTAAATATATATATATATATATATATAATATGCCAAATAATAGCGCACATCATAAAATAACATGATTTATATTTGTTTTAGTCACAGAATTGAATACTAGATTGTGAGTCCAGTTGTTGAGTCAAATACTGTGTATGTGTTTTGATAGGGGCTCTTCCTTTTGGAGGGGTGGCCACAGGAGGGGGGGGGGGGGGCAAGCTCAGTGTTATGGCCCCTGTTGGCCCCTGCCTAGAACCGGCCATGCGTCTGTGCTTTACAGTTACTGCGTTAAACTTGAGTGTTTCTAATCGATGTATGTCATGGAAGCGCTTATTAAGCTGTAAATCACAAAATTACCTACAAGCTCCGTGTGTTTCCTTAAAGCTCTTGTGACGAGGTTTTTGCTTTTTATGAACTTAATATTTACAGTCTACGTTCGTGCCTCTTTCAGGGGTCTTTCACGATATTATGAGGGTGTTATAGGCAGGTATTTTCTCCAGGGCCCTTCTCACATATTTTATCATTGTGGGCAATTTTTGCACAAGAGTTCTGTTAACTCTGTCCTCTTTTCTCTGTGGAAAGATTTACTAATGCTTAAAGTTTACTTTAATGCTTGTTACTGATGTTGCCAGGTTGTTGTCAAACAGGGCGATTAGTTTTTAGGTCAGAGAACATTACTAAAGCATGTTGCACAAGCGATAGGAAGCTCTGCTTTGTCTACAAAGCAGAAAGACCAGTTACAATAATCTATAATATTCCCACTGTTTTCTGGAAAATTGGCTAAAATAGAGTTGAATTTGATTTTTCCCCCCAGATATTTAATTCCACTTTTGCTCAACCAGTTATACATCCTGACAAATTGGTCTAAATAAAGATTTTGGAAAAACCTTTGAATTAATAAAAACCTTGACAATACCTTATAAACTCGTTGATTAATATTTTTTTAAGAACAAATAAAAACTGAAACGTTTCACAATATTCTGTCTGCATGCGGAATGAGTATTTTATTTATAACCAGTTTATAAAAATAAAATACAAAATAATTTTAAACAAAACAGAAAAAAAATAACACTGTACAAGGCATTGATATGATACAAATGATAGAATTAACATAAATAATTACAGTTATATACAATGCAAAACTCCCACTTGTTACATTCTTTCCTTGAGACTGTACAGTTACATTTTTAAAACTGTGACATACGTTACAACACAAAATATCGACCATTAAAAAAATCCCAACAAGTGAAGTCAAATAACGGATGGGCAGAAAAAGCAAACGTTATAATAAATAATTTCTGTCAAGTATTTATAAGTAAGGAACGAGTTATTGGATGACGTGACATGAGGAGTGTACCAATGTACACTAAAAGTTTTCACTAGTTTTCATCTCAACCTTCAAAATAAAACAGCTGGATTTGTTCATTTGGCCTATGAGTATCTATATCCGCAAATACTATCAAGCTACAATAAATATCTCTATAAGGAGGCCACTTAAAAACGTAACTAAGAAAATCTCCTCTGGAAGGTATCACTAGTACTACAACCACACACCACTTATGTGCAATATTAAAGGAAAAAACATGAGAAGAAATCTGATTATCTTTTAAAACCAGCAGCACTTTTTAGTGTTTCTTCATTCCATTCACTCACACTTGTTAGCATAGAATCTATGGTTTTACGATGATTATTTTATTTAAATAATTACTTTGAGTATTTTACAGGTATATATTAGAAAAAGGCTGCACTACAGCGTACTGAAGTATCTGGTAATCTGAGAGTCTGATATAGAGCACTGAAAGAGGGAGAATGCAAAGGTTGATTGCTGGCAAAATGTAGGAAATGCACACACCCCTGCGTGAGAGCATCGTACTAACAAACACACCTTGTATACTGCAAGATGGAATTCCCCACCAGTCCATCGATTAATGGCCCACAAATTCTCACAGAAAAACGTCTGACAGCAGTGATGTCTGAGGGGTATATTTGAGCCCGCTGAGATGCACGGTAGTATGTGCCTCAGCTCGGCCTAATGGGGGGAATGATCTCCAACACAGACAAGGCTCAGTCATCCCTCGCTACGCACAGAGGGGCAGAGAAGAGACATTAAGGCGGCTGACTGACTGAACGCTGTCTGCCTTCAGGATGAGTCATCATAGCTGCTCCAAGAAGCTAGCGTAGGTATCTGCAAGACTCAAACAAACACAACAGATTTTATATTTACAGAGCAATGTGGCCATTCAACTCCTGTACACTTTCATATTTGTTATATTGCAAGTTAAACCACATACTGCAAAATCTATCAAAATATTTGGCAATGGGATTTTTTTGTTTGTTGTGTCTCATACAGACTCTGAGTGCCATTGAATTCTCAACTCGTGTTTTTTTGCACACCATACAAGTGCTCGAAAACGCAGCAAACTCTACTCTCCATTTTTAGTATCTCTTGTAGTTTCTTTTGTGCGTCTTCTCAGCTGCTTGCACCCCAACCCAAAAAAATACTCTCATGTCCCAGCAGCACAATTGTCCCCAGCCAGTGCAGAAACTAGTCACACACAGATTACCACAAGTCATCCAGCAGGGAATGAAGTCACAGCTGGGTCAAAATTTTCACAAGGTAAATACTGCGCGATGGAAGCGTTGTGCAGCTTTCACTAAGTCTTTGTTTTTTCTGTGTTGAGCATGCAAGAGAGTAGCCTTGGGGGGGAAGCTGGAGTTATTTTACAGTATCTTACAAGCAGAGGAGAAGTGAGAGGGGGTGTCCATTTCAGTGAGGAATCCTTACTTAATGAAACACAAACAATACTCGGATTCCTTTGCTTTGTGAACAAACATACTGTGTGTCATTATATAAAAAAACATTCTCCATTGGAGGAGGAACAAAAAAACAAGGAAACATTCTTGCACATGGAACATCATTTGGTGTGAGATCTATATTTACATATGGCCTGCTTCGACCGAACATTTGACAAAATGTTGTTTGAGGTCTGAAATTCACATTTTATGTTTTAACACTGACCTGATATGCTAACTGTGTATGTACTGTATGTATACACAGGGCAGTTAAAGTACCAGAGTGTAGGATTTAGAGTTGAATATTTAGATTACAACTGATAACAAAGATTCAGAAAAACCTACAGCAGATGAAGAATTACCCAAAAGTTAGAAAGGCCTGCTCTAAAGCAAACATTTTGGATTGTTTATTCCGGACTAGCATAGAAACCAGGTGTTGCAGTTGGAATCTTGTCTGTTAAAGTTAGTTTACTTTAAAATGCTTACAACCGGTTACTTAATTAGTGTTTGGTCAGTTTTAACCATGGCATTAATTAAACTCATGAAAGAGTTTAATCAGTTAGGGAGCTAAAATTGGCGGCCGCTGAGCTAGCAGCCCCTTTAGCTCGCCGAAGAGCAGCAGAGTAGTTGTGATTTTTAAAGCTTGTTTAGTAGAAGAGGTGGTCGTTTCAGAAATCTCAGTTCCAATTTTAAAACTTTCAAACAATGACCAGAGGGCGTACAAAACCTAGTGTGTACAAAAAAAAAAACAAGCTAGTTGCAGCTCTGCCTCAACTTCCTGTCTCTTGTAACTGATGAAGAGCACCAGAGAAACGCTTATTTTTGCTGGTTTTAATCACCAGTTCAGTTAGTTTTTTAGAGAAGTTAACAGATAATTGCGCCCATTCTTAAAAACTTATTAATGACGGCTATAAGAGCCATTTTTTCCATGCTGCTGCTCCTGCATTGCTCTGTGTGCGACGACACAGCTAAAAATAAAGATTCATCAAAATCCCACACGCTGGTCCTCTTAAGTCAGGTTTCCCTTGAAATCACTCCTTTTTATTTCATTCCAAATATTAGCTACTGTCCTCAGGTAAACACTTGCTCAGAATGTATTTGATTTACAAATGTTTGAGTTGCTACCTTTTTTTGTTTTTACATAAAAGACTATCAGTTCAAAGTGTTCTCTTACAACGGCTGGCACAAGTCCTGTTTTTGCTCCTACCACGATTAAAAACAAACCAAAGTGAATCCTCAAGCTGCCCAAAGTGCCAAGGCACATGCTGAGACAAACATCTGTGTCTGAACATTACTCTTCAGTAATGCACCTTGTGTTGTTTACGCGTACTACTGCTACTACTACAACTACCACTTCACAATCCTAACATCGTTCAGTGAGACGTTTTTTTTAATCCCCTCTTAGCAACACAGTAGGCACAAAAAGGTGTGTGTCCTCACGCACTTTACATGATTGATTGTACAAAAGGTTCACTTTGGGGTGTTCCCTCTGATTAAACATTTTTAACGAATGTGAGTGACACAAAACCATACATCCACTATCACACAGAGGGGGGGTCTTATGCATCGCTAAAAGCATCAAAATAAATATCTCAATAAATACAACTGTTCACAAATTCAAGCTTTATGCGTTCACATAAAGTTAATCTTATACCCTGCCTGCTGTCTCCAAATACAGAGGAGAAATCAGAATCAACCCCACGCCCATATTTAGTTCAGTTGTGTTCAACTATACTGAAACTCCATCAGTATAATCCAAGTGCATTAATAATGGGGATTAATAAATTACCTTATGTTGTGCTGCAAGATGTAGGACCATTAATAAACTGGAAACTCATTTACTTATGTGCCCACAAGCTCATCTCACCACTGATTATTATAAAGTGTTATAGCACTGCTCTATTATGGGAAAAGAATGTCTTATTTTGAAGTTATGTAATTCATGTTATCTTTAAATCTACAAAATGAGGATCCTAATGAGTCGTTATCGCTATCGCTTATCTGATAAGTGGTGAAAAAAAAGGGGGGGCACTCCAACGATTTTGATATTTCTAACAGAAAGCTTCATTGTGAACTAGAGGTGTGGTGATCCAAAGAAAATTAGAAGCCAGTATTTCTATAGCTTAACGGTCTAAATGTCAGGATATTTCAGCTTCTGCCTCATACCTTTTGACTACTCTTTGTTAAATCTGGCTCTTAAAATCCCCAAAATGTAATGGAGGTGCAATACTTAATAGCTGAAGTCCTCTTTTAAATTAGGGCACATTAATAAAGAACAAATGGGCAGATAGACGGGGTGTGGGGAACTTGCGGGACAAGTGTAGGATCAGCAAAATAAGGGACAGATTTGTCTTATTGTACAGGAAGACTCAAGCTTTTATCCTGAATGCATTCTACTCTGTATTATTTGGAGTCTTCCCTTCCTCTGCTGTGGCAGCACAACCTGCAGGGCGACTATCTGCTCAACTTGCTGGAGCACTTGCTATCTCGGGTGCATCCCTTTCCTCTCGTCAGGTGGAAGGGGCTCGTGCGGGCCTGGCGGCTGCAGCATGTATCCTGGTGATGAGGGTAGAAGCGGCGGGGGGGCGGCGAGCCGGAGAAGCTGGGAGGCGAGCGGCTACGGCCGAGGCAACCCACTCCCACGCCGCCGCGGTGCTCGTGGCGGGAGGGCGAGGAGCTGACGGAGCGCTGCAGGGAGGAGGAGCTGCGGGGGGATGCGCTAGAGCTGCGATGGTGATGCGGAGAGTTGGTCAGGCTGCAGATGCCCATCCTGGAGCCTCCGTGCTGGGCAGAGGAGCGGTGGTGGAGCGGGGAGCCTCGGGAACCGTGCATCAGCTGCGCAAGGCATGACAGGAGGTCTGAGTCACTGTTGCTGCCAGCTCGAATGCGGTAACGCCTGAGCCTGAGCGGATACAAAAAGCAAGGAAGTATATATAAATAACATCAAGGTCATATGAAGATTTTTGCTTACTTAGACGAGACAATCAATATCCTTCTCCTAGGATAAGCCAGCAGGTTGTAGCTTAGCACAGTGATTGGAAGCAAGGAGAAACAGCTAGCCTGGCCGCTAAAAAATAAATGATACATATGCCAACACCTCTAAATTTTACAGTATTTCAAATGTTTTCAGTTTGTGCTAACCCAAGATAATCATCTCCCGGTTCTTCCTTCATATTAAGCATACAAACATGAAAGTAGTATCATTACTGTCGTCTGATAATAGGAAAGGAAAAAACAAAACCCCCTTAATGTCCAGTAATTACCTCAATAAGCTAAGTTGGATTTTTTTTTTTTTTTTGTTTTGCTAAATTTTCACAGTTGTCTTTAATTCTTTTCCAAATAAATACTTCATTTTTGGATCCAGAAAAAAACTGCAAATCAGCCAGTTACCTGCCCTCCACTGTAGAGCGACATGGTGGTTTTCCAGGCGGCGGGCGCGGCATGAACTGTGCGGCCAGCTGCTCAGCAGAAGCGGCTGAATGTATGGGACGAGGAATTCTGCTCTTGCGGGACAGGGGGCTGGACGAGGAGGAGAGGGAGGGAGCTTCGTCTCCCTGGCGGTCGGACCGAGAGCCCATGAGGGAGTCCTCTTCCTGAGAGCGGTCAGATGCGGAGGACAGAGGGTCCTTGGCAAGCGAGGCCACCATGGGGCCACGCCTGTCAGAGAGCGAGGGTGAGGCAGTGGGAGAGGGGACGGGGCCCTGGTGATTGGCTTTCTTCTGCAGGAGTTTCTCCTTAGCTGACCGTGGAGGAGGGAGCTCCAGCAAACTGGACGGCTCCAGGACTGGGATGCGACTTTGCCTCCGGTTCGGGTCCTTACGGGGGGCAACCGGGGAGGAGGAGGTGAGGCCACTGGTCTGTTCAGGAGCCTGGTTCACTTCTCTGCTCTCCTCCTCTTCCATTAACTGAGGCTCTGTGGCACAAGGAGGGAGGCCAAAATCATTGTCAGGGTCTTTCAGCTTGGGGAATGCCCCGTTACTCAAATCTCTTTGGCCGTTAACAGGAGGGGAGAGGTGGCCGTTGGCGAACACGGGGCTGCGAGGGGAGCGAGGCGAGCGCGGAGAGGAAGGCGAGCGCAGAGGCGAGTGTGGAGAACGAGGGGAGCGCGGGGAAGACGCGCGGCTCGGCGCGGGGCTGAGAGCTTTGGCGTGGTTGTTTCCATTGACTTGGGCCTCAGCGAGGGGTTCTGTGGGCGTCCCCGGGTGAGTGGGCACATTGTCCTGCGGGGAGCTGATGTCCGTCGTGCGCTCCTGGAAAGGCTGAGCCTCGGCCTCAGCTTCACCTCGCCTCTCCAACAGGAGGCACTGTGGGGCACTGTCCGATCCTGACTGGGAGGACAGGCCAGAGGGACGCTGAGCCGTCAACTAGAGGGGAGGGGGAGGTGGAGACACGGGAGGGAAAAAAAAACACACACACAGCTGTTACTAGACAATAAACCCCACTAAAGATGGGAAAAAAAATGCTAAAATTCAAAGGCCTGTTGCTGATAGACTACAACATGTCGAGTTGTGCTGTAGTTCTGTAGCAAGAGCCTGATGCACATGTGTGAAAAGAGAAGAATTTTATAATATGGGGTAATAAATGGTGATTAGTTTGGCAACAGCATGCAGTACCATAGCTACCATTATCAGACCGAAAACACACAAGTGCTATGGCAGTGTCAGTCAAGCTGTGAGTACTAAACCAGCAAGTAGGACAGGAAACGTTCACGCAACTTCGCAGGGGGCTTCAGCGAAGAAAGGGTGAGGAACAAATACAGCGAGAGAGAGAGGAAGAGAAAGATAGAGAGGACAAAGACGATCTGAAACAAAAGAGACCATGCAACCTGTGGTCATGAGTCGACATTCCAAACACACATGCCACAATCAGACAAACACACACCCCTATTCAGATCACAAGAACACATGTTCAGACACAGGGACACATCTGACCCATGCTCTGCCTGGCCTGCACAATGCCCCTCATGGTTTTCTGGAGAGCGCTGCCTGACGACAACAACACAAAAAGCAAGCCAACTGAACAAAGAAGCCAAAATAAACAACTTAAACGAAACAAAAGGAATGAACAAAAAAAATGTCCACAGCAGGGTGTGTTGCTACTGATGCATGAGGAAGTTAAATGGAGTTTTTTTTTTTTTTAAACGGGACGTGATGGTCTCATCACCTGCTGAAGCTGGGCGCGGGTGATGCGTATGACTGAGGGGAACTTGGTGTTGGCAGCGCCAGCCGGGATGGCCGGCAGTTTTCGGCGACCGGGCGAACGTGTGCCGGGGGCGGGGTTTGGTGGTAGCGGTAGGGAGGCGTGGCAGGAGGAGGAGGAGTAGGGGCGCTCCTGCTGCGGCTGGTCGGCGGACTGGCTGCGCCTCATGCCGGGCAAGCGCAGGTGCAGCGGGTCCGACAGAGTGGTGAGGAGAGTGTGAGGGCTGGGAGAGCGCAGAGGGACGGGGCTGGACGTCCGGATCGCAACTTCCTCAGGCAGGGACGGAGGAGAGGTGGGGAGCTAAGAGACGGGAGGGAGAGAAGTGGGAGGTGGAGAGAGGAGGGGTGGTGAGATTGTTGAGGGAGTGAGGAGATGAGAGGACGTATAGTGGAAGTATTGTGAGGTGGGTGAACTATGTTGACCTGCTCGGGGGGGAAAATGGCGAGGACTTGTTTTTGAAAAAGGTAAAGCAAGGGGATGATTACTGAGATTAGGAGGCTAGCTGAGGCTAAGGAAGAAAGGAAGAGGCGGGGGAAGGTCGATTTTGGGAAGGCAGTGTACATTTTGAACTTGGAGGCAGATGGTCTGGTTGTAGGAGAGAGTGAGGGAACAGTTATTCCTCTTGTCTTGTTCAGCTATGCCAAAAGAAGCAAAGAATGCTGAGCTTGTAGGATCTTGGAATCCAGTTTTTAGGGAATTTTGAAAAAAAGAACAAAAGGTATTTCAAATAAGCAAACCAAAAGTATATTTAGAAAATAATCAATCCAACTCGTTAAATGAATAAAACCAACCAAAATCATTGTAAATGTCTGCAAATAAGATTAAATTATACATAGCATAAATTGCAACTCAAAGTGAGGCTCTCCTCCCCCCATGCTGTGATCTGATAAACAGCTCTGCAGTTGAGACACAAATATCTTCTTTTTTTTTTTTCTAACACAAGCAAAGAAGCGTGAAAACACAGAGCAGTAACATTTAGACTAAAACTACAACAAGATGCAGCTGGTGAAACTCTGACTGTTGTATGACATTAGCATTGAGGTTCAATAGCTAGAATGCTGTGCAGCTTTTTAACTCTGTAAAAACGCTGACTACAGTCAGTATCATGTTATGTCATGTTGAAAGACAACCTTCAAAATGAAAGGGCTTACCTGAGTGATAACTCCCTCAGCCAGAGCTTCAGCTGGGCTGGTGGGAGTAATGGGGGGAAGAGCCCCCGCAGGGCCCACACTGAGCTCCAACTTGTCCCCTTGAGCACTTCCCTTGGAGGACGCCATGCTTTCTTGTTTAGCATAACCACAGCAAGGGCTTGGGCTGCCCTTAACCCATCCAGGAGATTGTTCCCCTGGCTGGAGCACCTCCGGCTCGTCATCCTCCTCCGAGGGGCTGGAGGTAACTTTGCCCCCCGGGGAGCCGCTGGGCCGCTCCACCATTACCCACTCCTTTGAGTCAAAGTCCTGCCTCCCAGAGCTCAGATTGAGGGCCACAAAGCCCCCGCTGCTCACTGCCCCCTCTCCGTGCTCCTGAGATCCACAGGATGCCGGCTTAGGTGAACCGCCGCCAGACCGAAACTCCTCATCGTAGTGCCAGACGCGATCAGGGCGCTCCCCGACAGGTGCGGCCTGACCCTGAGTTACTGGGATGATCGCGGCCCCATCTGCTTCTTTCTCCTGTTGCTGGGGGCCGAGCTGCTGCTTTGTTGGGCTGAAGGGACATAAGACAGATGATCAACTCTCCTCTTCCCAAAGAAACATTTATGAATTGAAGTATTCGCTTCAGACATACCAGGGCTCCATGTAGCGCTCTGGACTGGGCTTGGACTCTAGGCCCAGCCTCTTCTCCAGCTCAAAACTGTGAATGTTGCGAAGCTTCCTCAGCAGAGAGCCATCGCGGTCTGCAGCCCCCACCTCAGCGTGTTTGACTGGGGAACCCAGGTTTGGCCAGCATAGGGGCTCTGGTGTCCTTGGTTACCCTGATTGTTGCTGTGTTCCTCCTCCGTTCCCGCCTAAGGAAACCCGTAATTTTTGTTATCCCTCTGAAAAGAAATCGGTCTGGATTTCAAACAAGCTATCAATTGTCAACGGCTTACCTTCCACACTGCAGTCCTGATGCGGTTTCTATTGCGGTCAAGCTCCTCCCAGACATCAGCCTCTTGGTTGCGGTGTGGATGAAGCGGAGAGCCTAGTAGTCGCTCTGGTGCCGGGTTGTTCTCCCCATCGCTGAGCTGCTCGTCCTGCAGAACCTCTTCTGTGTTTTCTCTCATGAGGTCGCCAGGGATCAGGGAGGCATTGGCCATACTAGACGCAACAAAAAGAACAAAAAATGACTTCATTTCAAAGTCTTTAAGGATAAATATACCGTTTTCTTTAATGAAACTAAAATGTACCCCATGTGCGCCGGAGTGAGGCGGGTGTGATGTTGCGGTGTTGTGGCAGAAGCACTGATTGTTAAAGTGCCATCTGTGCCAGTCCGCTCCCAATCATAAGGGTCATTCTCCACCACATTGTAGGTTTTCATGCTGTTGTCGAACACGGACATCAGCAGCTGCATGAACATAAAAAATACATAATTTACCTTTTTATTAAAGAGATTCTAGAGGAAGTGGAATATTTTTCAGACAAAAGACTGAGCACATGAGAGACGCTCCTTCTGCATACCGACATTTGGTCTTGATTAGAAGAAATAGTAACCTTGATTAAAATGTGCACATTAATGCAGTCAGAATCAAAATGAGAGCCCTGTGTCACCTGGTAGTCAGGCTTCGTGAAGTAGTCTAGGCTGGAGATGTGTTCCAAGAAGACCCCGAACTCTGCCGGCAAGTGTTTGAGCATCAGACGATGGTCGTACGTGTCCTTCAGTTTCCCCACGTGCTCCTTAGGAATGAACAAACACACACGCCTGTCACATCTCATTCCTCACAGCTACCAGGAGAGGGCTGTATAAGCTTCACCAGAGTATAAATAAGTATCCGGTTCTCCTTACTTTGTCCTTGATCTTCCTCCACGGCAACTGACCGACCAGGAACTCCACGAGCATGTAGAAGAGAGACCAGAGGTCATCGTGTCGACCCATCTCCTGCAGAGTCACACCAAGGTTTGTTTTTTTTTTTTAGTCTAAATCAGTTCATGTTCAAAAAAGGAAGAAAAAAAAAAGGCACACAGCAGATAGATACTGACCTTATTCTTGTGTGCATTGACAGATGCATAGCGGACTGTTCCCCTGAACCCTGCCACAGGACGGGGCTGAGACAGAAAAACAGCCAGTTATTTAAACATTTAATTACATATATTAGTAAAAAAAAATAACAAGAATATCCTTTCCCAATGACATTATTGGCAAAAATTCATTTTGGCACATTATGAAATCACATTCAATTGAATAATTAATGTTTTTTTTGGCAGCTCAACAAGCGTCACATTTCTGACTTTGTACAGCCGGGACGACTTTCTTTTCTTGTTTGCCTTTTTAGATATCAAGAAGATGCAGAGCAACGTGTGCTTTCATATTAAGGGGTGCTTCTCATCAGCCAATACATTTAAGGTCACTCTTTTTTAGCTCTGTTAATATCCACAGCCTTCATCTTAGAGAAATATCTGACCATGTTAACCAGCTTAGAGAAGCAGAGAACCAATGCACCAACTCCCAAGGTGCATGGAGGGTGAAAGGCTTGAGGAGGTAAAAACTTGCAACACTTGTAGTATGAAGATCAATCAATAAAGTTGATCAAATTCACCTTCACACTGGTGTTGTTGTACTCTAGATCTGTCTTGGTCTCTCTTCTCTTGGCCTTGATGATGAGTCACCACTGACAGGCTATTTTTCCAAGTCATTTCTGTGATAAGAAGGAAAATCGCCCTTTCTAAAGAAACTTATAACTTTAATTCAATCATAGTTTCGCTGTTATAGTCTAAATGAGAGACACGCGCCCTGTCGGACTAAATGATGATTTTTCATTGATATTTATGGTCTTGGTCTTGACTCAGTCTCATTCCCTAAACGCCCTTGGTCTTGTCTTGGTCTCGGTTAGTGTGGTCTTGACTACAACACTACAAGTGTTCCTGCAGCTCTCTGACATCTTCATGTTTACCAGCTTGTATTTTTTTTTTTTTGTTTGGTTCTGGGTCCAAACAGTAAAGCTGTCCTTCATCATCCCCAGTTTAAAGAGGCTAAAAAACATCCCAGTGAATGAAATGTGACCTTTGTTAGTATAAACACATTAAAAGGTGTCGCTCTGAGCTCAGTTACTCTCAGTAAAAAGAAGGGGAACACTCACAGGTCGGACCTCCTGGCATGAGTTGGTGAACTGGCGAGCTAAACCGAAGTCCAGCATGTAGCAGGTTCGACATGTACTTGGGAAGCGGCCCATAGCGAAGTTTGACTAACAGGAAACAAGGGAGAGTGATTAACAGCATGATCAAAATGATTTACGTAGGACTTTGTAAAAATAAAATGTTGTTTTTTTTTTTTTTTTAAACTTTTTGAACAGTGAGTCAAAAAATAAAACATCAGTGGCAATATTTTCAGCCAATAAAAAAAAAGTGCGTGGGTCACAAAAACTACCCGGACATCGACAGTAAAAATAAACATGTGTTTAAAAAAATAAAGAAGGAACATGAGTGCTAGGTGAAAATAGCCGAGCAGAAAAAAAAAAAAAAAAAAAAGGCTTCATCTGCCTCCCGCTCGCTGTGACTAACCGGTTTGATGTCGCGATGCAGGAAGCCCACAGAGTGGATGCTCTCTATGGCCTCCAGGATCTGGCGCCCGAGACGCAGGGTGGTGCTGATGCTGAAGGTTCCCCGGGTCATGCTCCTCCGCAGGTCAGCCAGGTTTCGACCCTGAAAAAAAAAGGTATTACACGTCCAATCAGCTTCCAAGAGAAAAACGGAACTACAGTGTGACAAACTCATGTCTGCAAGCTCAACGCAGGACCCTCGGACTGCGACCAAACACGTCATGAAAGGCAATAAAAAATGTTTAACGTTCATTTGTTAATTGACAGAAATGTTTGACAGTGATGATAGTCAGATATGTTGAGCGGACAAACACAAGACCGCAGTAAGAAAAACTAAATTCAGCTGCATGAGCATCTATAATTCAACACACTGTGCGGTCTGGTTTCAGATAAATACACACAAATGTGACATTCCTGTGGGTTTGGTTGTTGTAACAAAACCAGACCACTTCAAAAAGCACTCAGACCTCATCTGTCATCAATGTCTCAGAAATGACTTTGAGTATTTGTGATCTTGGCTTTGACATAACAACATAGGATGTGTGCTGAATACAGGACATGAAGCTCATTTGATGCATCTGCGGATCACTGCAGGCTAACAAAGGACATGGGAACAGTCTGTAACTTATTCATTTTGCAGTTTTTTTTTTTAAATGCATATGGCTCGATGTCTTTTTCCTTTATTGGATTGGACAGCTGACGACAGACAGGAAACGTTGGGGAGGAGAGAGTGGGGGATGACATGCAGCAAAGGGCAGAGGTCATATTGAAACCCAAGGACGCTGCGATGAGGACTATAGCCTCCTTACTCCTAACGTTAGCGCTAGTCTATCGGCACCCTAACTAAAAGGACTTGAATGAAAACTGAAAGGTGTTGAGCTGTTGACGGTTCAACGACAAAACAAGTACAGAGTAGTGACCCAAGATGGTTTGACCCTGGACTGAATTTGTGTAACATTTGGCTGAACATTTAAAAAGATGAATTTTTTTAAAGCAGAATGGAAAATTAAGAAGTAAGACAATATAAGCCACCAGACACTAGATCTAATTCTACTACAGGTTATTCTGAAGCAGTGTGACTGTTCACTGTATAGAGATAAGCGACGGTGAGAATAAGTCGTTCTTACTATTGCTTATAATAAGTCACAGGTTCATTCTTTAATGTTTCAGAAACAGACTTTAATTTCATGATTCATTTGCTGATAAATAATAAGCCATTTATTATGTCTGATAACTGTAAGCAAAGTCACCAACGGTTTTCAGAGCACTAAGAAACATTGTCATTGCTTATTCTGTAAGATTTCAAATATTATAAAACAGAAAAACACAAAATCCACTTTAAAGAAGATTCAACCAGAAAACGGATTAGTTATGAAACTGTTTAGTTATTGCGTGTTTATTCGATTCGATATGCGCAAATTTGAAGTGTCGCACTTGGCAGAAAATGATGTAAATAAGTATACAGCATGTGTGTGTGTGTGTGTGTGTGTGTGTGTGTGTGTGTGTGTGAGGCATCGAGTCCTCTGACCAACCTGAAGCTCCATCACCACGTAGTTAAATCGGTCGTTGCGGCCACATCCTACGAAGCGGCACACATGGTCTTTACCTAAGAACACGAGGAGGACAAGAGGGTCTCTGGTTACTCTCTGCATCATCTGATCAGGAGACGAGGCGTGATGTGTGAATGAGTGTTCATTTTGTTTCGGAAAAAATATGACAAAATGTTGACAAGCGAAAAACAGATCTTTGATATTAAAAACTCAGACAACACATGTTTTTGTTAATTAGACTGAAATGTTAGTGGCGGTCTGTTGGACATTCAAAATCCATGATGTTTTCACCCTGCTGTGCGTCTAATCTGTACTTCAAAATACAGGCAGGAGAGAGGAGAGGTGTGTGTGCGCTGCCCGACAGAGCGCAGGAGGAGAACACGCGCGTGTGTGTGTGTGTGTGTGGATTTGTTTCTTTTTAAGATTTATTTTTATCCCTTTATTTGAGAGGCAGGACGGTTGATAAAGTCAGAAATCAAGGAGAGAGAGTGTGACATGCAGGAAAGGAGCCAGCGTTTGGATTCAAACCCTAACCGCCCGCTTTCAAGGACTTTACCCTCTGTACATGGGTCGCACGCACTATCCGCTAGGCTACTGCCACCCCCTTGCTAACTGATTTATTTCACAAGAGGGCAACTGTTTGCAAAACGTGATGACTAAAATGTAATGACATTTCAAAGAAGAAATCTGGACCAAAATGTTTTTGAGTGGCTGATGACTTCAACTAGACTCAAACTATAAAGCATAAAAAATGACTCAAATGTGACCTAAACTAATATGCATATCATCTAAAGGCTAAAACTATAAAAAAAAAAAGAAAAAAAGCTGCCATTATAAAAACTGGAGTAAATATTGATGAATTTAACGTCCATAGTTCTTGATCTTGAGCTTTCTTGGACGACTCCCCTTCTGATTTGTAGGACGTGAAGCACACAACAACTGGTTCACACATGTGCTTGAATGCCTTGTGTGCGTGTGTGTGTGTGTGTGTGTGTGTGTGTGTGTGTGTGTCTGGGAGATCTGGTCTCGAAGGACGTTGCTGCAGAGGCAGCTCGACTGCAGCCACACCCCGTTCCCACCAGCACACACAGAGAATGCTAACTATTTCTTACCAAACCACCGCGTTCCAAACACAGCTTTTTAAAGCACGGTGCCTACTTTCCCCACATGCTTTCACAATAACTCAACTAATTAGAAGTTAAAGGAGCACATTATCAGCTCCATATGAACCATTAGTCCTATCCTAAGGCTGTGGGGTGGATGTGGACTCTTTACAGCTGGGCTGGTCAGCGACGTTTTTTCTGTATTTGAGTTCAGCTTGTTCTTAAGTTACATTACTGGTTCCCTGAGGAAGGAACAAACACATGATGCCCCAGGTCGCAGCCATTAGAGAGCAAACACGATCCCAGCCTATTGATTTTCCTCTCAGATGGAAGGGGGGTGGGGTTGGGCGTGACATGGGTAGTGGTTTAAGGGAAGGAAGGAAGAGGGGCGGGAAAAGATTTGTTTTAAGAAAAGACAGAAAGGAGTAAAACTTTACGACCGCTCTGTGGGAGCTTTCTTGTGCCTCTGCTGTGAGACACTGGTGGGGAGCGTCCTGACACACAAACACGCCCTTCCTCTCAAACTAACGTTATGTCACCGTCAGATGATGCTTGTTTACGAAAAGTCCCACGATTAGAACCGAGATGTTAGACAACAGGATGATCAGTCTGCTTGCCGTGCCTGAATGAACGTCTGTGTGTTTCTCATTATAGATGAAAGCAAACTGAGCTGAACCCTGGGCCTAACTGTGTTTTCATACGAGTCAGGTGATCCATATCTGGTCTCAGAGGGAGACATTATCACATCTGCTATCAATGGACAAGAGCCATCCCTGCAGTTTCCACATTTTCTTGATTTGCCAGTTCTTCACATTTCTTTGTTTCAATCCGGGACTAAACATGTCAGTTTTCTCAACAATGTTTTTTTTTTCCTGCCACCAACAGGATCCTCTTTCACCGTCTTTTTTTTTTTTTTTTTAGGGGGGGGGGGGGACTCGATAGGTCAAAGTGTCAACGGAGGATCAATCGATCAGTCCCACAGATGTAACCGAATCCAGCGGACCCATTTGGACTCACCCTGGAGCTTCTTTAGCACCGCCACCTCCATCTTGAGCACCTGTTTGGGCTGCTGGGCCGACTCCACCTTCAGCGCCACGCTGACCCGCGTCAGCAGGTCCACCGCTTCGTAGATCTCGCCAAACCCGCCGCCCCCGATCTTCTTGACCTGGTGCGGGGAAAAAGGGTGGACGAATAATGGATGAAAAACTCATGAGTAAAACATTTTTACAAAGAGCTCGCTATTCATTTTACTGATACATCTGACAGATGTTGACATCCCTTAAAAGGAAGAATATGCAATCTTTCTGATCCAGCAGATGTCGCCCTTGAGCACCAGCATGAAACAAAACAACTCGCGGTGCATTGTTGTGTTAGAATGCTAATGCTAGCGATCTTTATTATGCTCGTATCTTCAGACTGCATGTAAATTTACAAAAAATGAGCGTGATGTAGGAACGCTCAGTGAAGCAGTGAGTACAGCATGTTATTCTTCTTTTCTCTAGTCCCTCAAATAAACAACTTTTGTACGCAAGGGGATGAGTCAGCTGCCGTCCCGGCGATGTAAACATGCCATAGATACGGCTCGGAAAGCATCACGGACAGCGGGACTCGGGTGTCACACTCATTGTGGACAGTCATGACTCACAGAGTTATTTTCAGAGGATAAACTTGATTTCTGCGACATTTAAGTGTGAAAGTTGCATATTCCTCCTTTAATGCAAACTGGACAATATGTAGTGCGATGATACTTGACGAAACACACTGACTGGTTTTATTATAAAATGCAGATCTGACTGGTTTTATTGCTTTTTTTAAATTTCAATCAGACGAACATAAAAACATAGTTGCAGAACACAAAAGAAGAAGTTTGTTATCGATGTCACTTTGCTCTCTACTTCTTTTTTTCCCCTCATTCACATCGCCCCAGGTGGTTGAGACCATTTCAGTCTCAGCACTCCCAGAGCTTTACGTCCCCACGTGTCCTTCACTGTCCTCCACGCACACACACACACCACACACACACACACACACACGCACACACGCACCGCCTTGTGTCGCACTCTGAGCTAAAGTCGTAGGATTAGCCGCAGCACTGTTATGTAACTCTGCTCCTCGGAAGACAGGAAGCGGCGCCAGGCTTGCCAGTGAGGAGTAACAGGCTCACATGGCAACCCCCGACTGGCACAGCAGAGAGAGAGAGAGAGACATGGGGCCCCTCAGGGCAACGCTGCTGCTGCTGCTGCTGCTGCCGCCTATAGAACACTGCACTGCCACAAATAGCTACACGGGCTATATTTAGATCTCACACACTGCAGCAGCCCTACCTGGACACAGGGACCTGACCCCAAACTGTCCGAAGCACAGGTGAGAAACATTTAAGAGAATAGCATAAAGATTCACAGGCTGGGGGGAGCGTTGTTAGATGAACAAGGAGTTTGTTGTTTGTGGGGGATAGGCAGTGACAGAGCTGGAAACACACGCCGCCCATTGTGGCCAAATGACACGTCACTTACCACTTTCCATCGTTCCTTGACCAGGGCGAGCACGCTGAGGATGTCAGCTTGCTCCGCTCCTCCGCTCATCCCGTCTGTGGACTGCTGTCCTCACTGCTTCCCCCTGCCTCGAACCAGCAAACCTTAGACTGGGCCGGGCATTTCTAGTCTTGATAGAGAACCCTAGGGAACGCCAAAGAAACACAAACAATGCCAGAAGATGAGAGATTATTCTGAGGCAATCAGCGGAATTATTTTAGATTGGTAAACTGAAGAATCTTGAACTTTTGTTTTGCTGAACAAGCAGGAATTCAAAACCAAAAGGGCCTGTCTTTAACCTGGTGGAGCCACATGTAAAAGTTCAAAAGTGGACCGACTGGAGACAAAGTTAAACCCCTGGCTTAGTGGCTGGAGCGCTCAGACGCCCCGACCATCGCGGCAGCTGCCACACCTGCTGCCAGCAGCTGTTCATGTAGACAAACTCACCCCACCGACTCGCAGGCAACAGAAATCTCCGCGCCTTAAATTACAAAAAGGCTTCGTCCGAGTATCGTTTTTATCTTCTGCACATTTTATCTTCTTCCGTGTGGTGACGGCCCCAGCAGCAGGACTAATGAGGACAGCACTCACACGCTCATCAGATATAATGAGGCTGTGTGTTCTCCCTAATTCTGCATTAGGAACAGCTGAGGATTTTTGCATCATGAAATCATACCTCATGGGGCTGCCACTCATCACAGTACCAGACTTTTAAGATCAGATAGGATACTATTAAAAACCAAACCTTATCAATACCTCAGCAACAAAAATACAGTTCCTTTTGCATCCTATGCATCCATTTTTTTTTTTTTGTTAACTACCAAAACGATGCAGTCAAACTCCTGCACACTGTTACATTTTGTGGTACCAAAACGCTGCCAATGTAATGGTGCAATTAAGACAATGCTCTTTCTTTAGCTTGCGGCAGCTTTTGGGTTAAAAATGTGACTAAAGATAAACGTTTTTTTTTAAACGTAGGTACTTTTTGATACAATGGATCATTAGAATAACATTGTATTAATTACATGCACGGAGGTACAGAGCAATGAGGTGCAGAAAGGCTCGCCTCGGGAGGAGCCTGATCCCTGCTGTTTATAGAGGCCCTAAACAAAAGGCCTCGCTGAAACAGGCCCGAGTGGGGACTTTTGACTCTTGTCTAACTCTGTTTGTGTTATACTCTGTGTTTTGTGTATGTATGTTCTTTGGTGGGAATTGTCTGCTTGGTCAGTAACGGTGCTGTGAAAAATAATTTCCCCATGGGGACAATAAAGTCGAAAGTTAAAGTTATGGTATTGAACAGCATCGAAATGTCAAAAAAATCTGACAACCCTAATAGAGCAACTTTTAGTATAAGTCATCTCAAAGCCCCTACTTTTGATTTGTGTTGATTTGCCCTCTCTAGTAAACAAAGTGGTTCCTTTAATCCCTTTGTTTTTAACAACTCTTAAATCCTGCTTTCTTTAAATAGTCCAACATGTCATTCATTGGGAATATTTGCTTTGGAAATGTAAAAACAAATGTCGGTTTCTTCAGCGTGCGGTTAATGAACACCTACCCGGTGGTCGTGGTTACTGGTGTTGTCTTCACGCTGATGGTCGGGTTTGTTTTTGTTGGTTGTATAGAGAGGCATCAGTATTCATTTCAGGGCTGCTTCATTACCAGTTCAAAACTCCTCACAGGAGCTTTAAGTTGACTTTCATTCATTTCTTTTTTACTGAAGCTTCTTAGATATTTTTGTAAGCTATAAACAAAACCAACATTTTGGTTGCCAGATTGTGAGAAATCCCTCTTTCTACACTTTCTTTTGGCAGGAACAAACACATTGGGCTAAAACTATAAATGTGTGTGGGTGACACTTCCTAAGAAGCAAACAAGTCTGCAGTTGAACATATTTATAATGTTTTGGTATCGTTTCCATGTTTGAGATTCTCTGAAGGTTTTTCCAAAAGGCGAATAAACTCACAAGTAACACACATTACTGTACTGTTGGAGGGATCATTTTCCCGCCTGGTGATCCATAAGTTGGTCTAACTGAGGACTTGTAACTGATTTATAAAACATTACTCAATCATCAATAATTAAATCAGAAGTTATAACCTACAAATCCTCCATAAATAAATGAAGCTCACGCCATGTAGCGCACGCTTCCTTAACATTAAAGCAGGCTGTCCATACAAAAAGGATCGAGTGGAGTTTCCTCTGGAAGAGCTGTGTATGTTCTCCTGTATTATACAACATCCTTGGGAGAGATAAGCATTCCTCAGGAGAGAACATGCTGGAAACTTCCGTTAGTCTGTCTTCAAACACTCGAAGCAAACCCAGCAACAAAAAAAGAAAAAAAAAAGGACTTTCGATTTATCTTTCCGCACACGGCGCCCGGGCATCTACGGTTATGCAATCAGCCTTCAGAACGCTATTTGGTTACAGGGCATGATCTGGACATCAAGGAGGCAATCAATCCCATCATGCACCAGGGGTGGGGTTGGGAGATGGAAGAAGGAAGCGTGGTCAGACTTGATAAAAGTAAAAATGACAAGCATGCTCGATCACACAGGGGGGGACACGACGGGACAAAGTGTCTCAGGATTATAAATCTCTTCCTTAAACAGACAATTCGACTAATTAACTTGGAACTGTAATCTTTTCATGTTGATCACTTTTCATTCTTTAACCTGCATTATGAAGTGAATTACTGAGCACACACATTCCCTGATTTATTTTGATATATTATCTATATGATGTTAATGAAATGAATGTGGGATGTCAGAAATATCTTTACATCTAATTGTTTTGTTTTTTTTAGATTAATTTTTGGGTTTTTTTTGCCTTTATTGTAGAGATAGGACAGTGGACAGAGTCATTAACCAGGGACCGAGACACAGTGGAAAATGAGTCAAAGGTTGGAACCGAACCCGGGCTGCCAATCTAGAGGACCATAGCCTCTGCACACGGGTCGCATGTCTTAACCACTCGGCCACCGGTGCCCCCATCTAATAGTTTATTACTGTAGTGGTATTAAATCATTTGTGTGACTGTAAAAATGTATGTTACAGGGACTGTTATGAATACAAATGCTACACAACTCTGTTCTTATGGTATTATAAAAAGTCATGCCTTTACTCAGAATCCAAGCATGTGGTGATATATTGACTCTTCACCCATGTATCTTGGCATACATCTTGCAAAATTCAGAATGTAAATAAAGCCCTTCCACTGAAACATTGTTTAACTTTAAGGTGGACTATCAGGCAGACTAAGGTTGGAGGAACTTTTCAGATAAGACCTTAAGAACGGCACGCTTTGTAAAAACCTGATCAGCATCAAGAGTGTTTTACAGACAGAATACGACACAAACATTTCGAATCTTATTAGATCAGTATGTCTTAAAATGAATGAACAACACTGTTCTGTAGTCTAGGGCCATGCAAGTCACCACTTAGGCTGCTCAATGCTACATTAAGAATGTTAACCTGCCCAAAAGGTGATTATGTAGCAGGTTGTGTTTACCACGGTCATAACTATCAACAGAGGGAACACCTGAGGCTGACGGGACTGTCATCGGTTTACAGGCGTTGGCTAAGAAAGCACAAAGTAAGAGTCTAATTACAATAACAAACTGATGATGACGGCCCATGATGAAAGGTGAGAAGTCAATGTTGTCATTAAGACATTTCCTTGGGATCATGAATAGCTGGACAAAAAAAATTGGAAAACTAAAGACAACCAACAATTCTAAAAGCTGGACCAAATCCCTGCTGTATAGAAGCATCTTTTTGGCAGCAGCTTTTGTCAATATCAGGCATGTACGCCGCATCTGAGTGTTTGCAAATCTAAAGAGAACGAAGAAGTCAAGTGGAACAACAGCAGTTGAGTTTGATGACAGCAGCACAGGTGTCCAAGACAAATCATCGCATCGTGTCTGGTGTGGTGTGGTGTCGTATCATACTCTTAAAGACAGAATACGTGTTCAAAAACATGCTTGTGTCCCTCTGTGGTGTGGGAACTCCACTCACTGTGACATTACCCATCTTATTGCGGTGTCACAACTTCAAGGTCACCCTGTCGTCATCCTTCTTAGGAAAGAAGTAATATTTTCTGTCACTTCTGAGTTATAATGTGATGATATTTTCTCACCATGTTAGTAATCTGTTCATCAAGTCTGTTCAAAGTGAATCAAGGAGGGAAACAAAAACTATGCTGGGAGAAAAAGAGGAAAAGATGGATGTTTGAGAGAGGCTGTCGTTACCCAGCTTAACCTTTACTTTTAGGGGTCAAGACTCTGTAGAAGTCTAACATTTTATTCTAAAAACAACCAACGCAAGTCAGAATAGTAGAAGAAATACTCAGACACTACCATCCATTCAGCTTTTTGACTACATCTGACGAGCTTCCGCAGCTTCTCCAACACACACGCCCTCACATAATGCATAAGCGCACACACCTATGCACAAGCCAGGCTGCCTCCCGCTGTGACTAATCTCACACCTCAGAGAGAGGCCCGGCTCTGCTCTTCCTCCTCCTCCTCCTCCTCCTCGATACAAACCACTCTCAATGAAAGAAAACATCACCGCAGGAGGAGCTTGCAGACCTTGGAGCGAAGACATTATAACCAATCTATGACAAATCAGCTGCTGTCTGATCATGAATCATGCTTTTCTGACCCCTGCGCCATGGTCTCCATAGCGACCGTGGCGCAGACAGTGCCATTTTCACGTGCTGACTGCAGCTGGTGGTCACCTCTGCAAGTTTTGCAGCTGGCGTAAAGCAGCACGAGACGTCAAAGAGACGATTCCTCCTGCTCCAACGTTTGAAGAAACATTCTGGAGATGTTGGGTCTGAATATTACAAAAAGCCTTGACCATGTGCAAAATCTATGCATGCTTAATATCTAACAACTATTCATTCAAGTACTAAAAACATTAACTTCACATTAATCTTAACAGGTTTAATATGTGTGCAACAGAAGTTGAGACATTACCATTATTTTAAACTTTGATATATACCAGTAAAAATCAAACCACATACGACCACATTCTGACCAAACAGTTCTGGTAAGTTGTTGAAGAGGAACTATCAACTTGGAAATTCCCTGCAAACTACACGACATGGGGGACTTTTTTCTGTCTGCCATGGTGATAGCTAATATTAACGTTAAAGTGACATAACATTGTTAGTCGAGTTGGGGGTAAAAAAAAAATCGATGTATGTAAAAAACAAGATTCTTCTCTTCTGAGATTTTCAGAACTTCCAAAAATCGATTTTTATTTTTGGATAATCAGTCACTCCCTGCTAAGTGCTTAGGCTAGTTCTTTAACTCAGTAAAATGCCAAATAGAGCAGCAAGAAATTCAGCCTGTCTCACAGATGACTGGAGTAGACAATGAAGTATGTACTAATTCAAAAATAGACTTTGAATCCATGGATCAATGAATCCAGAATCGTTTTGAATCGAAAATCGATTCTGAATCGAATCGTGACCCAAGAATCGATGTTGAATGGAATCGTGAGACACCCAAAGATTCCCAGCCCTAGTTTCTAGATCAACATCACTTACGCAACATAACTGGAAATATAAAGGAGCATTGTATTTCCTCTGTTGTATAAAAATTCCATTATTCCAGGAGTCAGTTTTGTTTTGTTAGGATTTTTAATAGTTTTTAACGATTGTTATTTACTGTTATTGGCTAGCGTTTACTGCAGGATTTTAAAAATGGTGGTTGGTGGTACCGGGTTGGCTCTTGTGTTCGGCCAATCAAAGAACACTGACGTATGGACCAATCACTGAGCACTTACATCACTCAAAGTCCCTCTTGTGCTGGGAGAGACTTCTCTGAAGCAGGAGCTAAAAAGGTTCCTCTGAACGGGGTTCTAGGAACTAAAATAGTTCATAGTTCCTGCGGTGTGGAATCAATAAAAGAGTTCCTAGAACTACGAAAGAGTTCCTGTGGTCAGAAAAAGGCCAAACTGTTTTGATATGACTTCGCCCGTTATTGGGTAATTTCTTGTTTTTCATTCACAAATTGGAAGCAAAATTCTGCACTCTCATTTCAGTGCAGAACGTTGCCAACTAAAAATATGTTATGTATGTAATAAATTTGTTTTTTTTAGAGCTTTGTTTACTTTTCAGCACTAGTGATCATTAAAATAACAGATTGTATTAAACATTTGGTATCAAACAGTGTCAAACTTTACTGCTACTGATCTTTAACAAATGTGCGTACAATAAAGTAGAACATATTTTATGATTATTATCTTCTTAATCTGATTCTGATTGAACAACACGTGGCTCAAGTGACAACAACTCGACTAGAAATCAAACTTCTGGTACATTTTGTCTAATCTGAGTGTGACCTAGCTTAGCAGGAAGTCACAGGGAGACTTGTTACTGCTGCTGCTGGGTGAGATTTGTGTTTTGTCAGCCAACGCTAGCGTGCAAGAAGGAGCCAGCCTGAGAAGACCCCTACACTCTGTAGTTTAGGATTACTCAATTTACTTTAGAAGGGCCAGGTTTGAATTTTGATGTGGTTTGCCAAGGGGGCAGAGCTTCTGAATACATGTTCAATGTCTGATCTGTGATGTCATTCAATTAAATAAATTAATGATGTTTTTGTTGCATTTAGAACTTTGAACTGTTTAAACAGCCTCGTGTAACCCCTTTAATTACTCACATTATCTTCTGTGGATGCAGCTGCAGCACGGTGGCTAATGTCTGGTATTGTATTTTGAAAAATAATTATAATGACCTTTTTTTAATATGTTTTTTTTTTTTTTAGAAATAATGACTTAATGTGTGTGGTTAAAGGGTCTGCTCGTGTTCCTTCCAAATCCAAATTCTGACCAAAAAGTGAAGAAACTGCAAGAGTGTGTGTTCAATATCATAATCCCTAAGTAGCATGCTTCATAATAACATCACACAATCAGTGACTAAACGAGTTATTTCTGCAAGACAAGTCAAAAGAACAGCTCTGCGAGGTATTTTCAACGACTGGAAGCAAGCTGCAGCAATGTCACAAACATGTTCGAGGCTATAGCTGCCTGTCATTCTATGTCTGCGGGGTTAAATCTGGTGTGCTCCCCTGCAGTGGACCTGGCTGCTAGGCTTTGCTGTGGAAAAGCTGTTGCATAGCGAGTTGGTTGCCACAGCAGATTTATTCAGGCGCGTCCACGCACCACTGGCCGTACCACCACCACACAACCACACAGGCCACACAGCCTCATCCTTGCCTGGCGTGAAAGGTGGCGATAATGTGAGCTCTGACAACAAGATGGATTACAAAACTCAATGCATGAAGCAGACAGCGGTGGGGATGGGGTTTGTTATTGCGATGGAAAGGGAGCGAAGAGCAAAAGAGGGGAAAGGCACAGCGCCCCCCTCCCCTCCCGGATACTGGATGCTTACCTCGGATCTTCGCTGCCAATCCTTGATCCAAAGCAGAGCCGGGTGTGGTTACAAAAAAAAATCCTCTACGTATATGGAGGCGGCGGGGACGACATTAAGCGGTATCCCATAGCGAGCGAGCTGTCCATAAGAAGAGGTGGAGGACGTCGTGTCTGCAAATTAAACGAGCATGGGTGAAGTGGAGGGTGGTGGAGGAGGGGGGGGAGAATATGTCTGAATGTGATCGTCCCTTTTCTCCTTCTGCCTGCCTGTCACCTCAGCATCTCCTGTCGGTCGGTCGGTCGCTGCAGATCCGTGACGTGACGTGACGTGACGTGACGACTCTGGGCTGATCGTCAGCCTTTACTGCGCGCGCGTCCACGGTGCGATCACCCCTCGCAACAGCTCGGGGGCGCGCGACAAGGGTCTTTAAAAAAAAAAAAAGCTCGCGCGCAGACAGTCAACGATTTCCACGTTTGTTTGTTTGTTTGTTTTGTTTTGGGGCAGTGGGAAACCTTTTCTGCAACATGCGTATACATATGTGATTCGAATAGAAGATGTGTAGTTTTTAGAAATATGCTTACATTCATGAAAATCTCGGCGACGCTTGGAGGGTTCAATCGAATTTGTTTGGAACGCGGCCACCGGCAAGATGAACAGTTCTCGCACAGACCACGGGGGGGCGACATTCAGCCAATGATGGACTATGTGACGATGGCGTAAACATTTATAAAGACAGCATTTTTTTTTTTCCTGTTTGCAAAGATTACACATTTCAATCCCCTGGTCAATAAAAAAATAAGCATGAATTACGGTGGCTCTGAAGGTCAATTGCACAACTATATCATGAGCCTAGGCCTATATGTAAAAAATATATATATTTTTAATAATAATAATTTATACTTCTTACAGAAACATAGGCCGAAATACACACACATGCACAAACAGGATCCTATGGACATGCACTAATGGACTCAGAGTGAGGGGGCTGCACACAGTGGGTGCTCCTGAGCTGGTGGGTTAGGGTTGGGTGCCTTGCTCAGGGGCACCTCGGCAGTGGACTTGCACCTCTCCAGCTACCAGGCCAATCTCCGGACTTGGTCCGTGCCAGGGCTTGAACCAGAGACCGTCTGATTCCCAACCCAAGTCCCTACAGACTGAGCTACTGCCGCCCCATTTCATGAAGCATTAAACACATTGACCTGAAATTCATTTTTCACCCATAGATAGATAGATGCAGATCTCTATAGTTAATGAGGTTATTCGTCCCACAGCAGCAGTCTTATTGGGTATTTCAGAGATATCAATTGAATCAGCTGACATGATGTTCTTTACATTGCAGCTGATGGTTATTTTATAGAGGGCTTGAGCACCTGCCTTTATGCCCTCTGGCATCTAATATCGCAACTTGTTTTTCTAACTAGATAGCAAAGACACAATGCTCTTTTGTCAAAAACAAAACACACAGGAAAAGATGACCAAAGTACAATGTCAACTCTTATGCCAACTGTATGTTTTCTTATCATCTGTGAAAACTAATAAAAAGATTAAAAAGAACAAACAACAACAAAAAAACACTAAAATATATGCTGGGTATTAAGCAATGGTTCATCTTGATAGTTGAAGATTGTGGGAGATTCAAACTGTAACCTTGAACAATCTTGAATCAATATTAGGGCCTAAAAATATATGTGTGTGTGTGTGTGTGTGTGTGTGTGTGTGTGTGTGTGTGTGTGTGTGTGTGTGTGTGTGTATGTGTGTGTCCTTCTCAATACAAGACTTATCATTTGTGGTAATGTTTAACATGATAATAATAATAATGTTTATAAATTAAATAACATCTATAAAAATCTCATATATATACATCTGTTCTAATTTTAGGATTATATGTCCAATAAATTAATAATAATAATAATAATAATAATAATATAATAATAATAATAATAATAATAATAATAATAATAATAAAAGAAACACTAAAATATATGCTGAGTATTAAGCAATGGTTCATCTTGCTAGTTGAAGATTGTGGGAGATTCAAGAATTTACTGTGTTGAAAGACTGTAACCTTGAACAATCTTGAATCAATATTAGGGCCTAAAAATATATGTGTGTGTGTGTGTGTATGTGTGTGTGTGTGTGTCCTTCTCAATACAAGACTTATCATTTGTGGTAATGTTTAACATGATAATAATAATAATGTTTATAAATTAAATAACATCTAGAAAAATCTCATATATATACATCTGTTCTAATTTTAGGATTATATGTCTAATAAATTAATAATAATAATAAAAAAAAATATATATATATATTTGCTTTGGCAGATGCGGAACGATTGCCTTTGATTGCAGTATCCGGAAAACATGTCAGAGTGGGTGCTCTTTCCTCACTCGCATCCGCTCGGTGACGTCGCCCGATCCAACCGGTCAGTGTGCCGTGTTTGGTAGCCTGGTAGGTAAACTAGCCGCCAAGCTAACCCGCTGAGCTACCTCCTCCTCCTCCGCCTCCTCCAGCAGCTGAACGGGAGCCGCGAATGAACCCCGCACGTCGTCAATGCATCTCCTGGGAGGGGGGCCACGATGGCAACGACAGACACGGTCTGAGTCATAGATCCTAGCCATGTAGCTTAAACGGTTCACTATATCTGTAGTTCATGTTAGTGTGATTCGTGATTTTCCACCAGTAGCTAGCTTTTTTTTTTTTTTTTTTACTGTCCGGGACAGACGGCGGCAGCTAGCCCCCCTCTCTCGCCACTTACAGGAGGATGCTGAAGCTGTTCGGTGTGCTGGTTATCCTCGGACTGGCCCTGGCGTGCATCACCTCCTGGGTGCTGGACAGCTATGACACGGCTTGGCACCCTAAACGGAGCGTTCAGCGCCCCACAGCCGGGGACGGAGAGGAGTCTGCGGGGAGCCCTCCACCATTTCCCGGCGGCGAGTTGAGCAACATATTCTGGTTTATACAGGTGTGCTTTTTATTATGTACCGTATTTCTAGCTCGCTGTTGTTTTTTTGGCTTGCACGCCTATGACTGTAAAACACAATGGTTGCGACAACATCTTTTTGTGTTTATATGTAAGTATTCTGCAGTTCTGCGTTTAACAGGAGTAGATTGTCTTTGCAGGTGTTGTTAAATGAGGTTAGCTTTTGTAGTTCACCCACTGAACTCTCCCAATGATTGACAGAATTGGGGTCACTGACCACTGAAGTGTGTCATTGTCAGGTAAAAAAAAAAAAAAAAGATCAGCAGCACAGTAAGTTGTAGTTAGACTTTGCACCTTTTGTGTTTTACCTCTCTGATACTACTGTGTGAAGAAATGGTTAAAAAAGCTTGAATATATTAGTATAGTCCTCTTTATCTTGTTTTTATTCCTCATTGTGTGTCTATTTTATGTTTGGTTCAAAGGTGTCTGACATTCACATAAGTCGGTTTCACGACCCGAGACGCATTCCAGATTTTGAAAAGTTCTGCACCGACACAATTGAAGTGATCAAACCTGCTCTAGTGCTCGCAACAGGTACAGTAATCCCCCACCTTTAACCCGTTTAACAATCCCTAAAAAATAAAATAAGACTTGTTGGGTGTGGCAGTGTTAAAACAACAAGCCGCCTCTCATCTTTTTTTTTTTTTTTAATCCTTCTAATCTGTGTCTTTTTCCCCCCACTCCACAGGAGATCTGACAGATGCCAAAACAGAGAGTAAGGTGGGCTCCCTGCAGCACGAGGTGGAGTGGCAGGCCTACCACAACGTCCTGAAGAGGTCCCGCGTGATGGAGCGCACACGGTGGATAGACATCCGTGGAAATCACGGTAATACACCGCGGCACTTTGTTATCTTAATGTTCTCTCCAGGTCCACTGCTTCAATCGAACACATCCCACAGTAGCCAGTGCGCTATTAAGCCCACTGAAGAAGAAGCCATTAACTGTGGTGCGTTTTAGCACCGCACTGGAAATCATCTGGCCCCTCCTCTTTATTGCTTCTTTCCCCGCTGTTATTGGATCCCAAGCTATTAGATGTGAAACCAGATACTTGTAGCTGTTAGAGAAAAGGCAGCTCATTATTGCATCTGGCGTTTGTCTGGCAGCTATTCCGCTGTTATTGATCGCAGGCTTTTGATGTGTGTTAATTCATCTGTTGGTGGGCAGCCGATTTAGTTCAATATCTTCATGTAATATGAGAAAATGTGATTTTTTGGATTACATATTTATGACTCTGAAGGGATTTTCTACATGAGACGTTCTGGTCTTTAGCAGTGATTCTGTGATCCTTTATAATTAAACATTCTGGTAAATCTCTTAATTTTTTCTTTTCTTTTTCTTTTTTTTTGACAGATGCCTTCAATATTATGTCACTGGACAGCACCAACAACTATTACCGGTCAGTATCAAAATGTCAATACTACAGTAAAGGTCTGATTTACACCCAGTCTACTCCTGCACGTCTTAAAGCAGCAAGCTGAGTGTGAAGCTGATCAGTGCACGTAGTAACTTCAATGCCTCTGAAACCTGAGTCGCTGCAGACCTATTTATTGACAATAATCCAAGCAATCTGAGCTTCCTGAAGACTAAAATAGAAGCTCAAGCTACATGAACAGGCCGACTCCCTTCTTGTCTTTGTGACACAAATTGTGTTTAATGTGACATCGCCGCTTCCGTTAATGCTGATTGATCTTTCATCTTCCTCGTTTTTTAAATTTTTTTTATAATGCTGCGGTCATCCTCTGCGAGACAGAGTCTGTCTCGTACGCACGCCTAATTTATTTATTCAATTAAAATACATGAAATTATCTGAGGACTGTATTAAGAGCCGAGCTGCTGGCTCCATCCCAGACCACAGTATCTCATTGCTCACGGTGACTTTTTGTTCGATTTTCTTCTAGGAAATACTCGGCCAATCAGAAAGTTGGCTCCTTCCACTACGTTCACAAAACTCCCTTCGGCAACTACTCCTTTGTCTGCGCCGACGCCACTCTGACTCCAGGACCCAAGAGGCCGTACAATTTCTTTGGTATTTTAAACCAGGTAGAGCTGTCCCACACTTTTTAATTTACAGAACATGAACATTCGCTGATATTTACACACAATTCAGAATGCAGAGACATTTGCTGCAAACTAGGTAAAGATAAGATAAGAGACTTAAAAGATTTCAACCCTTGACTGTCTATAAATATGGACAATGCATCTCCACCTTTGCCTCCTCCCCTTTAAAAAAGAAGACAAAAGACGAATGCCATGGCCCCCCATCAAAGCACACATTAAACTTGCAGATGAAATGGCAAAGACCCCTCATGTTGCTACAGCCCACAGCAGAACAGATTGTCATGTCGGTTTGAAGTACACACTCACATTTATGGAAAGTTCAATGACTCTCATATTAGTCTTTTTTTTTACATTTCCTCTCACTGCTCCTCTTCTGCTCTGCACACAGGGGCTGTATATGTCAAGAGCTGTCAGTTCTGACAATACATGCGCTCTTGATTAGCATTAAAGAACTCATTCAAACTTGTTTGAAAAATGAACACTTGGACATAAAACAATATGATAAGAACTAATATTAGTGATGAAAAACATGTTTGAAATTTTTTTTTGGACATGTATTTTAATTTTATAATTTGACCCATCTCTTAACATGGAGGAGGCGGAGCTTATGACCTATATTGCAGCCATTCAGCAGTGGGAGCTCCAAACATTGGCTTCAGTCTTGGGGAGCTGTTTTGCTGTCCATCTTTATATACAGTCAAAGCTCAACTTGTGTTTTTCTATACGGAAATGCCATTATTTAGTACACAGAAAAAAATGTTGTTAATATGAGAAATAAGCAAATAGGAGATTAAACGTACACTCCCATTTTCAGCACATGACTTCCTATTTCCTCACACTCTTAATGGTAAACATTTCTTCAAAATGTCAGTTTCCCATAAGGAACATACAGTTCATCATCTTTATTTATGTGGTCAAAGGAATAAGTAATGCTTTTAGTTGAATGTTGAATATAGTGCACAGAACTTGTAGTCCAATAAGAGTTTCTCTCTCGATATATCGTAGACTCAAATGGACTTGCTGGACACGTTCAGAGTTGAGAGTCTGAAAAGCAACCAGTCGATCTGGTTTGGCCACTACACCACCTCCACCGTTGTTTCACCCTCTCCAGGAGTTCGTGACCTGATGAGGTAAGAAAAACACATTGTTGTCGCTAAATTCTTTTGCACTGGGTGTGTATGAATATATGTTAACATATATAAGATATAACAAGTCCTTTCCATTGCGTGTTTGACATGAAAGCTTGATTCTATCAGAATATCTTGGTATAAAGAACCTACTACTTCTCTGGGATTTTTAATAATATGTTCACATCCAAATGATGGTTACATACAGTATATGATGACGGGGATTTCTTTAATTTGCTCTATTTAGATCTGCAGTTGCGTATCTGTGTGGCCACCTGCACACACTGGGCGGCCTGATGCCCGTCCTCCACAGCCGGCATCCTCAAGGTACTCTGGAGCTCGAGCTGGGCGACTGGATGGATAATCGCCGGTATGACAGAAGACAAGATGACTTAATATTTTTTTAACTCCTCTTATTATTATTATTTGATTTTGATCCTCTTATGTAAAAAATCCCCGCAGTAATCTCACAGGTTATCGGCAGGTCTTAAAGCAGTCTTCAAAGGCATTAACAGAAGATCTTTATTAAAGGGATTAACTGTTATTTAGACTTCTCTACTTTTCCTGCAATATGAAGCAGTATAAGTCCAAAGATGATTTGTGTTGCGTCATGCGATGTTGGTAGATGTAAAAGCCTATAAACTTAAAGTGTAATTGTTTTTTATTTTTGCATGCAGAAGGCTGTGAAACCTTTTTTTTGTTGTATATTTAAGTCAGCACCGTTGAAACTAACAACACTCACATTCCTGTTAGCTACAGTAGCTAGGAGGCTCAATGACTCATAATGGGTAGGGGTCTCTTAACCCGCTGCTTATGGACCCTGGTTGCATTATCATATTACAATGAATCATATTACTAGGCCATATCATGCTTTTGTGGTGGATTTTATTTATTATAGGGGGAACAAATGTCCTGCTGTAACCCCTGTCCCACACACGTCTGTCTCCAGGTACAGGGTTCTGGCTTTTGACCACGACCTGCTGAGTTTCTCTGACCTGAGGTTCGAGCAGTGGCCCGCGGTGCTCATCACCAACCCCAAGGACGCGCAGTACCTGCACCCGGGAGTGGAGCCGCTTGGCCGTATACGGAGGTCCACACACATCAGGTGCCTGTTCAAGTCGTTTGTTGATCCTAAAGGGCTCCAGTGGCTCTGCTGCACATGCTTCCACGGCAACGCGCTTTCTCTGATGTCCTGCACGCACATTTCTGCAGAGCACCTGCCCGGGGGTATTTTTATAACATCATCATAATTTGTTGCCCTGGTATTAAAAGTCATGTTAGTATTGGGGACAACAAATGACTTAACCTATTTACGATTTAAATGAGATAGTTAGCACAGATTTTCAAACAGGGAGACATGCAGCATACGTCGAGGGAATGGTTGTCCTGATACTAGATTTTTAAACTTCAATACAATTGTAAACAAATCAAACCATTTCGATAAATATATATAAACACCATTGCAACAAAAATAAAAGTCCTAGGCAACAAATCTGGGTCGTTTCTAGTTTGTAATTACCACAAATGCAGGCAAACTCCTGCACACTGTCTAAATCCCAAATTACATTTCTTTACTAAAATGTTGCCAACGTATTTGTGCAGTGCAGACGTTGCTCCCTCACTTTCAATGGCAGCAGCTTTTGGTTAAACTTATATCTGAAGATAGGAAGTGCTTTTAAAGCTCAGACATTTTCAATACTATTGGTCATTCAAGTAAAACAGATTGTATCGTTTTGAAACATGATAGCAAAAAAAAATGGAGCATTTTGACAACCTAACCTGGGATGGCCTTGAGGACTGTAGCCCCTGCACATGGGGTCTCCAGTGCATGGCCCCTAGCTTTCAGAATTACAACGTCTTCTATATTCCCTTGTTTTCAAAAGGATCTTGGCCTTCTCAGAGGCACCAATCACAGCAGTGCACGTTAGCGTGGACGGGGAGCCTCTGGGGAAATGCGACTCTGCTGGAGGTCCTCTTCACGTTCTGCTGTGGGATCCATCTCTCTACCTCACTGGACTGCACACCATCAGAGTGAAAGTGGAGGTCGGTACAGCATTCATTTATCTTCCCCTTACACTGAAACGTGTCCTGAGACTTCTGAATATTTTATAGGTCCTGATTAAATTTGTTTGCTTGAGTTGAATTATGACTCAGTGGGTCTTGTTTACTGTCTGGGCGCTCAGGCTTTGATTCACTACTTACAATAATTTACAGACATAACAATGTGTTCTTTTCTTTTAATGTTTTTTTTTTTTTTTGTGTGCGTGTTCTTCAGGACGCGGCAGGCCGGTCGTCGGTGCGGGAGCAACACTTTACTCTGGAGGACGACCTGACTCCCAGCTTCAGTTTTGTGCAGTCCTTCATCCTCCTCACAGACCACTACGTCCTGGCCCGAGTGGCCTTCATCTTAACCATGCTGCTGAATGTCGGCGTGCTGCTGGCCTTCAGGTTCCTGAGTGTTCCCTCAAGGAGAGGTGAGCTGTCATTATTTAGTTTCGTGCTGCATTCATGTGCTGCTCGAGTGGTCCAAGTTTCCGAGTTTGGAAGTCTTTCTCCCCGACTTCAGCGTGTTCACACGATTTCAACTCGGACGGTCGGAATGTTGTAACGACGGCAAAAAACAGCGTTGATGCTACTAAGAAGAATGTAACTGTTACAAGTAATATTTAAGTATAAGGTTGATGTTCAATATGTGAACTAATAAAAAGTATTTTAAAATTGACAAAATATATTTTGCCCCCCAGGTGAAGATGATTTTGACATCAAGTCGGTAAATCAGGCACCTAATTCTTTTCTGAGTTTCACATCAGAATCAGAAATACTTCATTAATCTCAGAGGGAAGTTTTTTTTTTCAAAGTTCATGTGCATTTTACAACTTGGAAACTCGTTTTTGCGAGATGTCCGACACCACATGAATGCAGCATATTATACAGGCAACTTAAGCGCAATTTGCTTAAGTCAAAGTCTGCAGAGTCTGATTGTAGACAGAAATGGATCATGCCAATTTGATCATTCAAAAGAAGATTTTTTTGTGAATACTTATTCTTTATCAAGCATTTATTCAGTATTGTTTCGTCTGTTATCTACAGGCTTTTATTCTCAAGCGTGCATGTCACTCCATCATGTCAGTACAATGGACACCTTCTTCTACTCTCTGCTGCTCTTCAACCTGTGCACAGCCTTAGGTGAGTCAAGTTCTTTGTCTTGTTCCCTTTTTGTCTCCTGCTCAAAGCTTCACACTGTTACTTTCTAAATAGCATTACAAGTGAAATACACGTTGGTAATAAAATGAGAGATCTTGATGGTAAATGCTGTTTTTCTCTACATGATGTCCTTGTTATCTTTCACATGTTCCTTTATAAATAGCTGAACAGTGTGTGATGTTTCGGCCCCTCTCAGGTCCGTGGTTTATAGGAGAGCTGATTGATGGTCATAGTGGGGCCTGCTTCGCCTTCGGGGTGTTCATCGATGGACATTTTCTGGAGGGCAGTCTCACTTATGTCATTGGGGTTGTTCAGGTATTAAAAAACGATTGATGACACATCTTTTTCTCTGCAGCGTGTGCAAGAGCAAGACTTTCTGCAGAAGTGCTGTATGTGTTACATTTTTGATGTACAGGCTTTAAAGTCTCCATGGAGCGTAACTTGGGAGAGTATCTAACTGCTGTGTCGTGACGTATTTCAAAATGAAACGGGAAAAGAACCAATCACAAGATAGAAGGCGGGACATAACATTGGGATGATTTGATTGGATAGTTTGCTTCGACAAAGCTTATTTATTGGTCAAACATTTTAGTAAACACTGCTGAGTGTAGGATGAGTCATCAGGCAATTGAAACATTTTACAGGAAGAGAAAAATCTGAGAGATTAAATTATCTGACAAGGAAACATCACAGTCATGGTCACTGTGGGGGGTGGGGTGGGGGGGGGTCACAAGCCAAACGGGTATCAAAGCACGGCCTAATGCCTGACTAATAAATGTGTTATCAACCTGTTCTGTGATATCCATACCAGTCACATTTAACTTGATTTATTTCATCCCTGCCAGATGCTGTTCTTCAACATGCCCCTCACCTCTTACCTGTGCTGGAGCCTCCACCACCGTTGCCGCGGCAACACCTTTCGATCGCACTTCCTGCGGCCGGGCTGCCGCTGGCGGACTCTGGCTGTGCACGTCTTCATGCTGCTGCTGCTCACCTGGCAGGCCCACTCTTGCTACTTCCTCCTGGAGACCTACGGCTCCGTGGCCTTTTTCCTGTCTCCTGTCCGCACGTGGGCGCTGGCCCTCAGCCTGATATTGGTCTACCGCGCTTGGACAGGCCCCGCCCCTCTTCTCCGGGAACACAGCAAGAGCGTCTCTCCCTCTTGACAGTAATTGCACTGTACCACCACAACCACTTCCTCGATTTTCCCATTGAGCCTGACTCGCAGATCTATTTTGCTGTCTCTATCCATCCCTGGACCACCTCAGTTCCCTTCCTTTCTTTCTACTCTCCTTCCAAAATCCACCTCGCAGAACATCGGTCACTCTCCTGTTTCTAGATAGTATTGTTTACTTAATATGCATGTTATTGTAAAGCACTGGTGAGCACATTTCTGGCCATATTCATAGCAATGTGTACAGTGTAAGAAAAAAACTTTGGGAGACATAAGGGTAACAAGCTGAATTGAGCAATGTGAGGACAGTTGAATGTGTGCTGCAGTCGACAGTGCACTGAGTAAGAGCAGCAGTATACTGTATGCTGAGTCATTTACTTGAGCTTTAGCACTTTTTGGAAGTGTTGCCTTGGCTGATAGCCACTCCACCACTGCCAAATGATGAATAAGAAAGATTTTACCTTTTATTCCTCCCTCTGAAAATCATTGTCATTCACTAAGATGGCTGGACGTGCCAAACCCATCCTCCTGTTTCCTGTTTACTCTCCAGTATACAATTCATGTGAATAATAATAAGGAAGTGCGTATGCCTCGTTTTGTATACTGTGAGCTGTTCCTAAGTTCAAAACTTGACAGAGTGCAGTAGTACCAGTCTCTTTTGGTGAGGATGACACGTGTAATACAGCCTATGATGTTCATTATTTCAAGTTTATCCTCCACATAATTACAGGAAATCGACAGAAGGGAAAAAAAAATCAATTGTGTACTGTAGTTAACGATTTAAAGTGTTTTTAAGTTATTACATTGCACATGACTGCCACTAAAAAAAAAAAAAAACCTCTTGTATTTTGCATTGGATAGTCATATCAAATACTTCAATGCTATTTTACAAACACTCACAATAATAGAGCTAGCCGGCCCAAGTGTACGTGCTCCTTCAGACGTGAATACAGAAAGCAGCTGTTTGTTTCTCAGGAATGTGAGCACTCGAACAACACGCTGGTCCCAGAAGTATTTCAGGACAATGTTTTTATACTCCACAGTAGCTCAGTGAACTCAAACATCATGTAAAAACAATCGAGATGTGTTATGGCGGGGGGAGGGGGGGGGGGGGGGGGGGGGGGGGACGAATGTGTTCCAAGATGTGGTGAAATGGGATGAAAAGTAATTTGCTATTGTTGTTTTTATTTATTGATTCAGATTGTATTGAGTGGTTTCTTTTTTCTTTCCCCCACTTACATGTTATATTATATCTGCACTGGAAATGCCCGCCTCTCTCGGGGACATGGCAAAGATGGTAAAAGAGCATTCCCAGCTTTGTGTGTGTGAAGACACATTTTGTCTGTGTTGCCTCAGAATGATGATTCCTTAATTTGTGTGAAGGTGGGTGAGCAGGTAACTGTCTGTTAAGAGTGTTTTGCTCTTTTAATGAAATCCTTTCCAGTCTGTAGTAGGTGTTGGATTTCGCAAGAACAAAGCGATCTCATTAAAAAAAAAAAAAAGACAACCTGGGTGAAGCCCACATTTATCAAGGCTTTTAATAGAAGCAATGTTCCACTAAAGTTTTTTTTTTTTTCACAAAGCATACCCTGTGTGAGTGAAGAATAATTGCTTAGCGCTGTGATAAGACACAGTTTAATATTAGAACAGCTGAGAAAATTAAATTATGTGCACTGATGCTGGCAATGGTTCAATAACCGCCCCTCTCTTTTCATAGACAACTCTTTTTTTTTTTTAATGGGAGCTTAACCAAGTATATAATTCCACCATAAAGACAGATACTTCAAACTGATGGTTTTAATGATGATGCTCTTACAAACTATGTCCACAAGGAGTCAGTATTGATTTGACTGGGAGGGCAATAGAGACGACTGCATTATATTTCCATCTCTAAATGATCAAATTCTGCATGTTTTTTTTTTTTTTTTTCTTTTTTACAGAAACGCACCAAACATTTGTCTTGAGGAGACTGTTTTGATAGTTTATTGGTGCTCATGGATTTTGTTTCATCATTATTGGTTGTGATTGTTTTGTATTGTACCCTCATTTGGCTATTCACAAAAAGAAGAAAAACACAGACACCCAGTCCAACACAAGTACCATCATGAAGGAATATACCAGTAGTGATGAAGTGGTGTTCACTTGACTTATTCTGCATCTCTTCCTTTGTTCAAACACTAAAGTATATGAATGAATTGAAGATGATTTTACACCTGCCACATATTTTTCTTGTGACAACTGAAATCAGAGCCAACCACTATTTTATTTTATCAATGGTTTATAGTGCTGTGGAATAAAATGTTCATTACAGTATAGGCTATCCTATACTTTGCGTTGTTTTTTCTTCTTCACATCATTGTTAAATAAAGGAACACAGTAGAGAGCAATATGGAGCTAGACACTGACAAATGACAGTCAGACATAATCAGATGAGTTGATATAGACAAAACAAACCAGAACATGAAATAAGTTTAATGCTGTAGCATCACTCCGGTTATTTTTGTAACTAAAACTTGAGCTGGAAACAAAGTTATCTCGCTATTGCTACTTAAAAATCTTAAAATAAATCGGTATTATGAAAAAACAGACCAAGATTACATCTACACAATGTCAAGGATAAAGAAAATCCAGATTTTTTTATTTCACTTTGTTACAGCTTTGTCTGTTGCCTCCTTCAAAATTATGTCAGGGGAAATCAGCAGGTCCCGGCCTTGTTAGCTAGCTACAGCTAACTTTCTTCATATAACAAAAAAAGCCTGCTTTTAGTGAAAGCACTTCAGGTATAAGCTTAACTACTAAATAGAGTTAGCTAAATTAATTTGGTTTTACATTATGAGAGACAATAAATCATATCAAACAATGATGGCACAATAAAGTAAAAGACAAGTAGTTCAATATGACATTGTTATAAAGTTGGAACAATGGTGCAACCTTTCAAATGCTGCTAGTAGCTAACCTTTGTACTTCTTAACAAGCCCGCCTCAGTACACACACAGGGTGGCATATCGTTTTATGAATAAAGCTAGCCTCAGTTAGATAAAAATGCTAGCGAAGAGGCTGTTGCTTTGTGTCATAAGCGAGCACAGTTTAGAGTTCAGTTGGTCAATAAAGTCAAAGACAAGTAGTTCAATATGACAGTGTTATAAAGTTGGTACAGTGGTGCAACCTTTCAAGTGCTGTTACCAGGAAACCTTTGTACTTTTTAACAATCCAGCCTGATACTGAACCATTAAACAGTATATAAATCTCAGTACGCAATCAGGGGGTGTAGTTTTATGAATAAAGCTAGCGAAGAGGCTGTTGCCTTGTGGAATAAGCTTTGTGGATGAACCCATTGATGTAATCTTCCACTGCTATGAGGTAAATGATTTTATAGGCTATAAGGCCAATTTAATTGAAATAAATCTGAATTGTGATATCAATTGTGTTGTTGTTTTTTTTGACTTTTTGGCAGCTTGCGTTTCCATACTAAACAGTTCTGATGTTAGGACTGGAATTGACTTTTTAAAAGAACTTAAAACTGTTGCAGAATACATAATACTTTGATTATCATCATGAGGCAGTGCTCCAATATACCAACTCATATTGTTTACCGCAGCACCTAATGCCAAAAGTCTAATCCAAGTACTGATGTTCAAAACGTATCGCACTAGTACTCATAGAATATTATTATATTTTCGATAACATTTCCAGGAACATATTTCAATAAAAGTAACCAGCTGGTGTTAGCCAATCCAATGCAATATCTAAACAGGGTTCATCAGATTATTATTGATGATCGTGATGAAAAAGACCACTGTTTATTTTCCCAAAGTGTCTGGAGAGAGCAGTCTCTCCTGGAGGCTACAGGTTGTTTATTCACTCTGATATCTTTATAATCTGCTTGCCAGTGTTTCCCCCTTTCATCATGGAGCAAAATGCATCTGCAAAGAAATGGAAAAAAAGGATTTAGCTAACCAAAAGGTCATACCATGAGGTAATTTATAATCAACATACCTCCCATGTTTTCAATGCCGTCAACCACAGATTCCAGCACCTGCAGAGTGGAAGCAGAAATACAACTAAATGTGAACATACAGATAAGGAAGAAGACTAAAATTTGCGAACAAGGACACCCACACAGTCAACCACACATTATCATAATTTCCTTGTTACCTTGATTTGTCCAGATTTAACCCACTGGCTGAGCTCACAGAGGGCACTGTCGGCTTTGTTCATGTAGTTCAGCACCATAAATCGCTCTCGGGTGATGTTCTTACTTTGCAGGGCTTCCTGGATCTCCTCACTCAAGGGAGGAGGATAAGGCACATCCTTGTTGTACTGTGAGATCTGCCCACACAGGATTACATGACCTCCGGTGTTCATCTGGAGATAAGAAGAAGGTTGGAGGTCCTCATGCGAGACAGATTTTTAGAAGACACAAAATACTCACTGCTGGAAAAACAGTCTTGTCAGTGAACTTTGCAAAAAAGAATCTTGACATTTTACAGCCAAAAAAAAATATGAAATAATAATAAAATAAAGACTTTTCCTTGGACAGGTACAACTGAAGCAGTACCTGTTTGATTACAGTGTCACTGATGTCTCCACCCACGTTGTCAAAGTAAACATCAATCCCTTGAGGGCAGCGCTCCTTGAGCCTTGCAGGAATGTCCTCTTGACGGTAGTTGATGGCTGCATCAAAGCCCAAGTCTTCCACTAAAGCTCTGCACTTCTCATCAGAACCACTAATACCAACCACTCTCACACATCCATCCAGCCTGCCAATCTAAAAAAAACAAAAAACAATAATAATACAGTCAGGATTTCACCTTATTGTCTTTGCAGTTAAATCCTTTTTTTTTTTGTTAGCATCTGTGATTGTCTTGATTCTGTATGCTTATAGGGTTTCTTAAACTGTATATAATAAACGTTAACGTTAAAAGCTCCTGTGAGGAACTTTTGGTTTGATTTTGTGAGTTTACCTGTCCAGCAATGGAGCCACATGCCCCAGCTGCACCGCTCACCACCATTGTCTGATTTGCTCCTTTGGTCACATTACCCTTCTCCCTTACTCCCAAAAGTGCAGTGAGGCCTGTAATACCAACTGCTCCCAAAAAGTACGACAAATGGCCATCAACCAACTGAGGATGAACCTGCGATAGGTAGAAGGTAATATCCCATTTTTTTAAAGGCTTTCTTAAAATATGACAAATTCCACATTTCACAATGTCGTCACATAGTTACCTTCTGTAAGAGGCTTCCTTTCATAACAGCATGGGTCTGCCAGGGCCAGTTGAAGTTTGTGACCACATCTCCCTTCGTGCAACCAGCACAGCGGCTGGACTCAACCACACCAACACCTCCACCATCCACACACTCGGACAAAAGCCATGGAGTCAAATATCCTGCACCGGTGTCTTCGTTCATTCTGCAACGCTGCAAAGAAAAGACACAAAAAAAAAAATAAGAAGGGTTAGGGTTATATTTTCAGCATGGACACCAGATTGCAACACATTTGTATGTTCTTTAGTTTTAGTGAGAAGTAACAGCTGGAGTCCTCTTTTCTAATCTGAACTCAAACGTGAATGCATACAGGGGACTAAACCCACAGGTTTGTGAAGCAAGATCCTACAAGACAATAATCTAAATATGTAAAAAATGTAGGTGCACTATGGCTGTTTTAATACCATATATGGATCGACTGAAAGGTAAAGCGTCCGAACAAGAACCTCCCCATCTTCCAGGTCAGCTGTTAAAGTTGAATTCTCCAGCCGGAAATTTTCAGGAACCGGTGTCCCATTTTTACCTGCAAGCACCAGTATATTAAGCATTTTGTGCAAAAGTTAGCCACGTGGGTGCATTAATGTTCAAAAGATTAAAAATAATAATAATAATAAATTAAAAAAAGGGGAAAAAAATAACAAATTGTCCTACCTGGTCGCGAGTTGAGAACCACTCTCTGCACCTGCATCCTTGAAAAGTAACTGTTATCCCTGAAATCTACGTTAACTGGTACTTTATCTTTGGAAAGACTTCGCGATAAAGTGTTTTGCACTTAAATTAAACACACGTAAAACTAACAAACTTGTCACACGACCTTTTTCTTTACACTGTGTTTCCTCTGCAGGCTAGCAGAAAGTCAACAGATCACTGACAAAGTCTCGTCTGTCAAAAAAAGCGAGAGAGTTCACTTCTACAACTTCCGCCTTCGCCCAAACGTCGTTGGCAGCGTAATATTTAGCCTGCGACAAACCTAGAAGACGATATGCAAATCGCATGTCGGTTGCAGCTTGTGTCGAGAAATTTAACTAATTTAATGCAACGCTGCACAAGCTTCTCGTGGAAACTACCGCAGATATGCCTTTAGAAGTTTTCATGCTTGGCAGGCAGCGTTCATTCTGCTGCGCATGCGTAATACATTTTTTTTTTTAATGTGCCTACTCCATAGATTATTATATATTTGAAATATTAGTTGAACAAATGGCACGCATCTTCATTTTTCTACGGTGTGAAAACTTAAGTCAGGAAGTTGTGCAATGTGCGAAAAGATATTTGACCAAACATCCGGGTATGAGACGGTAACTATCTTGCCCGTCTTAAATCGTCTTTTCACTGGCGCTTGAGCCGTTAAAGGCGCTATCTTAATATTCCAGATCATCAACACTGCAACAGCGACTGCACATAATTCAACCGCTATTAAACCCGCATGTACAGTCACCGTCGGACTCCACCAATGCAATGCGTTCACCTCATCGTAGACTGACGTTACGTGAGGGTAGGTCCCCCCATGGATAGTTGTGGAGTGTCGATTTGCTAGCTAAAGTGTCTCAAAAAAAGTGACTCTGGGAAGTGAAGACTGGAGGAGAAATCGGAAAACGTGAAGTCTGCAGAAGAAGAGCGTCAACCAGGGAGATGGAGACGTGTGTGCCATGCAGGGAAAGACTTTAATGTAAGTACTGCACGGCTGTTTGATAATGCATGACAACTTATGCTAAGTGCTTTGTTTAATTGGACAGTTGATGGTTAATTACGCACTAGTTAGCATTTTGACAGCCTGGCCGACCCCCCCTCACCCTCTCCTCTCACCCCCTCCACCCCACCTTTCCTTCCTCACGTACACACACATATTCATGACATGTCAAAAATCCCCAAATGCCCCATTGAAAAAAAACCCACCTTGTGTGTCATTTATTATCCTTTGTGGTGAAGGATGCTTTTCAGTTTCAACAAAAGTTAAAGATTTGATTTAATCCTGATGAAAAGTTAATGATTTGGTTTAATCCTGATCAAAAGTTAAAGATTTGGTTTAATCCTGATCAAAAAGTTAAGCCATCTTTTGTTTTGTCTCTCTTAAATAGGAGGAATCAGTATTTTACTTCACATCAATAAAGTAAAGATCATTTCATGGGCATGTCTCAAAAATCTTCTTGATTTTTTTTTAGAGGTTTTTCTTTTCATATTTGCATTATTTTTTACTTTCATTTATAGCTAATCTTCATTTCTAAACAAGAGGGTTGCATTGTATAATAAAAAAGAAAATGTGAAGAATAAAAAAAGGTTTCTACAAAATAATAGTAAAAAAAAGGCCAAATCTCTTAAGGGTGACTTAAAACGCAAATTTGCCTTCATAGGAGATATTACATCTCTGTTAAAATGTCCTATCAGTTGGTGGTTGTGTGTGTGTGTGTGTGTGTGTCTGTGCATCAACTAAATGATCAGTCAGTCCACGCTGATTCACAGGAGGTAGACATGTCAGACTCAAATTCTTGTCAACTGCATCTATGACAGTATTCAGTTTATTTTCAAGCGAGCAACAAGCAGGAGGGGAGGCTGGTTCCCTGCAGAGTCTGTCTGGCACATGCTCGGTGATGTTTGTGCTCTAGTAGTCCAATGTCTCCTCCACTGTTTAATAGAAGGCTGGCTGTATGGCGCACTATTATGATGGGTCCTTTTTCATTTAGACACTGTAGACTTGTAGCACAAGAACAGGTGTTATAAACAACATTAAAATCAGGACGGTTCTATTCAAATGTCCCAGTGATCATAAATTATGGCAATGAGCGATGATTTTTTTGCACTTCTTGTTCCCTCTTCTTCTTAAAGGTCAGTTGGTCTATGAATGGGTTATTGTTTTTATGACTTAAATCAGGTCAGTCAATCAATAAATCTGTATTATTTGCATAGCATAAAGGCATAGCAAATATAATTCAAGACACTTTTTCTATCCACCGTGAGCACGGCACTAAGTCTAAGCAACATTTAAAAAATAACAGTGGCAAGAAATATTGTCTTTTAAGAGTCAGAAACCAGTTGGGTGGGTGTTTTTTTTAATTTATTTATTTATTTTTTATTTTAATATTATTTGTACTATTTTTGTTTCTCTGTTCTTTACATTGCATGTTATTGCACTTTATTTCTTAACTACCGTATTTAAATATTACCTCTGTGCCTGTCAATATATCTGAGCTTCAAATAACATTAGGGTGACATGCACAGTTGTAATAACTATAAAAATGAGTCTGAAATATGTTGTTGAACGTATGTCCGATTTGCTTGCTCAATAAAAGATATTTGAATTAAGAGTCAGAAGCCTCGAACAGAACCAGCGAGTCATGTTGAGCAGCCATCTGCTGTAACTGTGTCAGGCTTGGAAAGTGGGTTAGAGGGAGATGCAGAAAGAAGGAGATGGATCGAGAGGTGTTAGGTTGACTCGAGCAAAAGTAACGTTCATGCTTGTATGACATAAAAGTCCTCAGTAAATACCCCGCTCAAGAACTTTAATTCTTTAACAAGTCTTGAAAAAAGACTGTCGCTAACAATTGGCTCAATGGGACTAAAGAGGATGTCAGCGAGTTTAAATCTCATTATGACAGACACGGACAAGTTGAAAGCTTGGTCACACTGAACTCCAGTGACACAGTTATGGTAAGTGACCATGCTGTTAGCGTTGGTTGAAGCACTTAAGATCAATTTTTTTCTGCATAAAAAATTAAACTGGTAACTGTTTGGTTATCCGTTTTTTTTTACTTGAGCACCCAATCTGTGTGGCCTTCAAATATCCAGAGCATTGGCCTTAAATTGTTGTGCTTTTCATATTGCACAAGCTCCAGGTACGATAATTACACATCTGTAACACCTCGCCTTTAAAATTCATCACAGAGGCATAATGGTGGGACCAAGTTGTCCCTCCCCTGTGACGGCATCAGCGGTAGTAACAGGGGCAGGATGGGATTACTTTAAGACCACAGGGGGACACAGTAATGTGTGTGTGTGTGTGTGTGTGTGTGTGTGTGTGTGTGTGGAGCCCTTTCTTCTTTTCTGTCATGCTTCTGCAGCGCTGTCGTGCAATGTAAAAACAGGCTTGGACATCAATATAACGCCATTGCAGAATCAATATGAACGCATAAAGGCGTAGTGATAGCAGAGCTTTGTTATAGTGCAGTTGCAGAGTCGCAATCTCAAAAAGGGCGCCAATGACATTAGATACCGCTTGTTCTCCTTCTGGATTTCTATATAATAATGCTAACATTACATTATTTCTTTCTGTTAAAACGCCACGCGGTGGAACATGAGACAAAAACGGCAACAATCTAGATTGACACTTGTGATAGCTCCTCTCGCACCCGTACGTGGCTAACTTAAACAGTCTGCGTTGGTTGGGACGATGGATGGATGGACCTGCTAAAGAGCGGGCTGTAGATAGCTGACAAAATCACTGGAAAGTTTCCTGCTCGGCGTCCAGAAATATGTGCCACACCTTATGAGAAATCAAGAAAATAATGAACAGATTAGGCATGAAGACAAATAATTATTTACAGCATTCTTTTTTACTTTTCATAGATAATACTTTCTTAATCCCAGGTGGACATTCGGCTGTTACAGTATATAGCAGGAAATATAGAATATAAATGATAACCAAGTGAGAGTATCTGGAAAATAATTATCTATGAACGAGCGCAGGCAATTTAATAAATAAACAATATTTACAAATATAAATATACAAAATGTTCTGTATTAAAACAGTGTAGAAGTTGAACTCTTTACAGGATAGGTTCATTTGTAATGCATGTGTAGTTGTATTTTATTGTATTCCAACTATTTTAAACAGCTTCAATTTAAACAACACTGTTTTGTTTTTTTAAATGTTATTTCACAAGTGGGGCCATTCTTCAGCTTCCATAAATAACACCCTGTGGATGCTGTGTCATGTGAAAACACCACGCAGACATTTTCCTGAAGAATTCGTCAGAATAAGGAAGTGTGTGAGTTGGAAAGAAAAGTGAATGTCAATCGGGGTGTGCCCTTCTCCATCCATCCATCCCCACGTTCCTCCCATGTGTGTCGGAATTTCCCGCATGGACTGAGAGGGCTCTTGCTCCGTAAATTACAGCGCCTTGCGTTTCATAGGAAGACCTTATTTGGGCATGGAAGTGGGTGTGGCCAGCGAACTGATGGCTGGGGAAAGGAGGAGGAGGAGGAGGAGGGAGGGGGGTCACAAGACAGGCAGAAACACGGAGTGACTCGATGTACACCAAAGGCCGCATTGCTAGTGAGTTTTTTTTTTTTTTTTGTGCAATCCTAGTGCAATAATGTGCAACAGACAGCGGCGGCATTGAGCCTGCATTTCTGCAGATTATCGCTGCGTTTCCGGTCGGGACGAACTCGTGTTTATGCACCGACCCCCTTTTTTTCCTCTTGACTTTAAAGCGGGAGGAGGGGGGGCTAGGGGGGTTGTGGAGGGTGAGGGGGGGGTAAAAAAAAGTACCCATGAGTGAGGTCAGCAGCATAGCATGAGTCAACCTTGGGGATGAATGCAGTCATCATCGCGGGTCTGTATCGTCCGGGGCCTGCTGCTGCTGCTGCTTCTGCTGGCTGCGCGGAGCTGCGAGCATGCGATCCTGCGGTGCTGAGCTGCCGTCAGTAGCAGCTTTCATGACGAACACAGTGAGTATCGTGGTGGGGGGAGAGAGAGACAGACAGACAGACAGACAGACAGGGCTGGAGCCGTGGTGTTGATGACTGTGGGGTAGTTGTTGTTGTTGTTGTTGTTGTGGTGGTCGACAGTGCATGTTATTGTGGCACGCAAGCTCTGCTGACAAAGTTTTGTTTACCTCCCAGAAGAGACGGACTCGGCGCTGCTGCCGATGAAAGCCTCCATACGGGAGCTCACCAATGCCTC